GTGTGTGTGTGTGTGTGTGTGTGTGTGTACATATGTACATATAGGAATAGATTTGGCATTCCGGGCAGGAAGGGAATGAATGAAAAACAGGTTCCCAGTTTTTACTTTTATACTTCATGTAATTTTTTGTACTGATGGAGGATATTCAGTTTTAGACTAAGAGTTTTCCTTGTCAAGCATACCTTTATAAGCAGGGGCAGAAGGTGCGTACATCATGTAGTCAGAAAACTGAATTCTTTCATTCAAAGGAAAATACTGATCCAACCTTGTTCTAGGGCAGCACTGTCCAACAGAACTTTCTGCGATGATGCAAATGTTCTATAGCGACCTTGTCCAATACAGAGCCTCTAGCCTCACATGGCTATTGAGCACTTTAAATGCAGCTAGGGAAATTCATGAACTACCTTTTTAGAATTTATTTATTTTAATGTAAATCTCAACAGCCATATGTGGCTGTGACTACACTAATGGACAGCACAGCTCTCAAGTTTAGTAAAGCTGTGGTGGAACATAAAATGTTAGTCAGTGCTGTTCAGTAAGTGGCAAAGAGGTAATTTTCATTCAACTTACTTAGTCTAACAAGTACAAAATTTTAAGTTTCCCCAACTGATAAAGGAGATAGTTCTGGGGATTCCAGACAACTTTCTTGTCAACAGTTAAGTTACTGAAAGGTGGTACTTGGACTTACAGAAAAGGATCATCGCAGTTAAAAAAGGACATGATCATTATGTTAAAACCAAACCAGTTGCTGTCATATGTGTCAGAGTAGAACTGTGTTCCATAGGCTTTTCAATGGCTGATTTTTTGGAAGTAGACTGCCGGGCCTTTCTTCCGAGGTGCCTCTGTGTGGAGTCAAACTGCCAACCTTTTAGTTAGTAGCTGAAAGCATTAACCGTTTGCACCACCCACGGACTCCGCAATGAGGAAAAATTATTATCTGCAGGAATAAAAATCTTTCAAATTAGATTTAAAAAATAATTATAGTAACTTTATAGAAATGATCAGCAATATTGCCAAATTAATATAAGTCAAAACTATCACTGTTACTTTCAAAATATTAGTGAAATTTAAATAAACGAAAGTTTTCTTTTGTTTGTTTTTAAGGCAATGCATTTAAAAAGCAGAACATTTCTATACTTTACCTTTACAAAAATACTGGTAGGTATAAAACGTCTCAGCAGTTGATTAGTGAAGTTGGGAAATCTAAGCAAGTTGACATTGAGAGATGGCAGCTGCTGGTATCCGGCCATTAGAGGATAGAAATTATATAACATTTCCTGTTCAGTGCCAGGTAGGATACGTAAGCGAATCTAAATCATAAAAAGTTACAGAAAAAGATGATCATGTACACACACTCTCAATATCCACATGTTGTTATCACTCAATTATTTATAAATGATTGGACATCCAAATCCTCCTGGTGAAACAGTCACTCTTCCTTCTATTCCACCTTCCAGACAGATCCCAAATTGCAGGGCTAAATTAGCATAAGGCTAGGATCAGGCAGACAGTAAATGGAGAATACACATATGTGTAATTTCTTACTTTTTATCAAGATCTCAAAGGCAACTTGTACCGGCTAAAGAATGAGAAAGCTAGACAGGTCAGTATTTTCTGTGTCTTAGAGCAGGTAGATTTCACACTCAAAATATGTCACAGCATCATTTGTAGAAAAGATTTCATTTGTAACCACCATGTCCATACAACACAAACTAGTTATTTCTGGTGTTTTCTTGTAGAAATTTTACCTTTATGCTAAGTTAACTTTAGGGAAAAAGATGCTCAAAAATCTTTGGCAATACTTTATAAAGAACATAAACTAAGATTTTGTTACCATTACATTTTCTAATTATTTGTCAAGAAACTCAAGAAAAACTTACTCACTTGCAAATGCATATAATATATGCACATGATGTGTCAAAGATAACATATGCATGTGTGTACCAATATATTACAGCTGGTATATTCAATTATCATATCTCATAAACTAAAAATATTACATGGAGCTATAGTATAGTTCATACAGTTCTGTTTTGCATTTAACAACAAACATAGCCCTTAGAATATGCACAGCACAGCTGATTGGTCAGGGTGAATACTTCTAGTCGTTAATAAAGGTTTGTTCCTCTAATCATGCCCTTGTTAATAAAAGTATTTACTGACAATGAATGTTATCTCTGTTATCACTTTGACGGTGGAGGACAGTACTCAGGTTTTGCCTGACAGTGTTAGGTTTGTTCACTAAAAACTTGATGAACTTTTCTACCTCTGTTTAAATAGATGAATCAAAAAAACTGAGTATTCTAAACATAGAACCTGCTGCCGCCAAGTCCATTCCGACTCACAGGGACCCTCTAGGACAGAGCAGACCTGCGCCATAGGGTTTCCAAGGCTGTAATCTTTACAGAAGCAGACGGCCATATCTTTCTCCCACGGAGCGGCTGGTGGGTTTGCATCTGAGTGCTTAACTACTGCTCCACCAGGGCTCCTTCATACCAAAGATAAGTAAATTCTATGCAGGATTAAAATCTCTAAAAAAATTTAATTGATAACTCAGAAGAAAAACATGCTTTAACATTGGTATAGCCGTGCCTCCAGGCCACAAATTAAAATTTAGAAAAACTTCTAGGTTTTTATAATTCTAACATAATATAGCCCAAGGATAAGTGAACTTATGTTTTATAGGGAGTAAAAACCTGTTTATGTCTGGTATCAATGATGTGAAAAGGTAAGGGCTGCCTATTTAAGCTACCTCTACATAAAGTTGTATTTAACCTTTAAAAGTTACTAAAAATTCACTAATAATAGTGAACACAACAACAGGAACCACAGTCGGCCTTACTCAGTTCATTTATAAAAAATAAATGGTCAACTCTCTATTTCCTGGCCACACTTCCATGCCTTCGTAAGCAACTCCATGTACCTGTTTAAGCCCTGAGAACATGAAGGCATCGCTGGGTTCCACAGAAATTTCCACGTCCTGCACTAAGCTTGTCTTGTTCTGCAGGTGGTACCTGACAGGCAATGACTCTCTGACACGCCCGAATGAAGGCAGGTCTGCAGAGGAAGTTGACACATTTTTCTTGGTTAAAAAGCAGCTCACCACTTAGAGACTCCTTTTGTAAATGTATCCCATTTTATGAACATGGAATTATTTAAATTTGTGAAATTATTACATTCTTGCCAAATAAGAAAATTCTATGATTGGACAATTTCCATGTGTCTATATTAAAACAGCCTCAGAAAATCAGTATCCTTATGAAAATGATTACCTTAAAAAGGGTCTTAGCTAACAGAAACCCAATTAGATTTTAATAATAGTTTTTTAAAAAAATTTTATTTTGTTGTTATTGAGAAAAGACACTGCAAAACATACACCAATTCAACTGTTCCTACGTGTACAATTCAGTGATATTACATTCTTCGGGTTGTGCAACCATTCTCATGCTCCTTTTCTGAGTTGTTCCTCCCCCATTAGCATAAACTCACTGCCCCTCAAGGTTCCTATCCAATCTTTCAAGTTGCTGTTGTCACTTTGTAGACAGTTCTTAAAAGAGCACAATGCTCAAGGCAGACATTTTTTTTACCAGTTAAGCAAAACTACTTTTGGTTTTAAGAAGACTTCAGGGATTTTTTTATTGTACTTTAGATGAAGGTTTACAGAACAAATAGTTTCTCATTAAACAGTCAGTACACATATTGTTTTATGACATTGGTTAACAACCCCAAGACATGTCAACACTCTCCATTCAAAAGTTTCTACGTGTACAATTCAGTGACATCAATTACATTCTTCCAGCTGTTTTGCTATTCTCACTATCCTTTTCCAAATTATTCCATCACCATTATCTTCAACTCACTGCCCCCTAGGCTTCCAATCAAACCTTTTGAGTCGCTGTTGTCAATCTGATCTCACATGAATAATTCTTTTTTTTTTTTTTTGTACCTTAGATGAAGGTTTGCAGAACAAATAGTTTATTAAACAGTTAGTACACATATTGCCCTAGACAATGGGTAACAACTCCATGACATGTCAACACTGTCCCTTCTCAACCTTGGGTTCCCTATCACCAGTTTTCTTGCCCCCTCCTGCCTTCTAGCCCTTGTCCCTGGACTGCTGTGTCTCATTAGTCTCGTTTTGTTTTATGAGGCTGTCCAATCCATGGCTGAACGGTGAACTTTGGGAGTGACTTCATCACGGAGCTAAAAGGGTGTCCAGGGGCCTCAGGGGATATTTTTGGTTTAAGGTTTAAAGATTAACTCAGAGCAATAGTTTCAGGGGTTCATCCAACCTTCATGGTTCCAGAAGTCTGGATCCGTGAGAATTTGAAATTAAGTTCAGCATTTCCCCCTTTTGATCAGGATTCTTCCATAGAATCTTTGATCAAAATGTTCAGTAATGATAGCTGGGCACCATTCATTTCTTCTGGTCTCATGGCAAAGGAGGCAGTTGTTGATGGAGACAATGAGCCACATATTCCATATGCTCCTCCTATTTCTGACTCTCCTTCCTTGTTGCTTCAGGCAAATAGAGACCAACTGTTGTGCCCTGGATGGCTACTTGTAAGGTTTTAAGATCCCAGACACTATGCAATGAACTAGAAGGCAGAACAGAAGCACTAAACACATAATTAGGCCAATTAAATGAGACGTTCTATGAAACCATGACCCTGTATCTCCAAACCAGGGAACCAAATTTCATGAGGTGTTTAGCTCTACATAAGCAGCCTCTGTAGCAACCTTTTTTTTTTCACTATTGTAAATATACCTATCACACAACTTTTTTCAGTTCAATTTTTTACAGGTGTACAACTTACCGACAGCAATTGCAGTAATCAGCTGTGTAACCCTACCCTTAACCTATGTGAATTTTCCATCACTGTTAACTCCCTGTCTTAGTCACCTAGTGCTGCTATAACAGAAACAGCACAAGTGGATGGCTTTAGGAAAGAGAAGTTTATTCTCTCACAGTCTAGTAGGCTACAAGTCCAAATTCAGGGCTTTAGCGCCAGGGGAACGCTTTCTCTGTTGGCTCTGGAGGAATGTCCGTGTCATCAATCTTCCTTTGGTTTGGGAGCTTCTCTGAGCAGGAACCTCAGGTCCAAAGGACAAGCTCTGCTCCTGGCACTACTGTCTTGGTGGTATGAGGTCCCACGTGTCTCTGCTCGCTTCTCTCTTTTATATGTCAAAAGAGACTGGCTTAAGACACTATCCAATCTTGTAAACCTCATCAGTACAACTGACACTAATCCATCTTATTAGATCATAGTGATTAAATTGACAACACATAAGAAAATCACATCAGATTACAAAATGGTACACAATTATATAACCAGCCAAGTTGACAGACATCTTGGGGGGACATAATTCAATCCATGACATTCCCCCTTCCTGCCTCCAGTAACCACAAATAAACTTTGGTCTCTATACATCTGTCTTATCTTTTTTATATAAGTGAGGGAGGTCATACAATATTTGTCCTTTTGTGACTGACTTATTTCAATCAGCATATTATCTTCAAGGTCCATCCATATTGTAGCATGTAACAAGACTTCATTTCTCCTACTTGCTGAGTAGTATTCCACTGTATGTCTGTACCACATTTTGTTTATCCATTTGTCTGCTGATGGGCATTTAGGTTGTTTCCACCCTTTGGCTACGGTCAATAGTGCTGCAATGAACATCGGTGTTTGAGTCTCTGCTTTCAAGCCTTTTGGGTGTATGTACCTAGGAGTGGAACTGCTGGGTCAGATGGTAGTTCTATGTTTAGTTTTTTGAGGAACCACCACACTGTTTTCCACAACAGCTGTACCATTTTGCATTCCCACCAGCAATGGATAAGGGTTCCAATTCCCCTACATTCTTGCCAACATTTGTTTTCGTTTTTTTTAATGTCAGCTATCTTAATGGGAGTGAAATGGTATCTCACTGTGGTTTTGACTGAATCTCTCTGATGGCTAATGATGTTGAGCATCTTTTCCGGTATCTGGTGGCCATCTGAATGTCTTCTATGGTGAAATGTCTATTTAAGTCCTTTGCCCATTTTATGATTGGGTTGTCTTTTTGTCGTTAAGTTGTCGAAGTCTGATTTATATTTTGGTTATTAGATTCTTATCAGATGCATGGTTTCTGATGATATTCTCCCAGTTGGTAGCTTGTTTTTCACTTTTGGTGAAGTCTTATTTTTTTCCCCCCTTTTTCGTTTTATTGTGTTTTATGTGAAAGTTTACAGCACAAATTAGTTTTTCATTCAAAAATTTATACACAAATTATTTTGTGACATTGGTTGCAATCCCTGCAATGTGTTAGCACTTGCCCCCCTTTCTCTTTCCACCCCAGGTTTCCCATGTCCATTCATCCAGTTTTCCTGTCCCTTCCTGCCTTCGTCTTGCTTTTGGGCAGGTGTTGCCCATTTGGTCTCGTATACTTGATTGAAGTAAGAAGCAGGTTCCTCACGTGTTATTATTGTTTTATAGGCCTGTCTAATCCTTGGCTGAAAGGTGCACTTTGAGAATGGCTTCAATTCTGAGTTAGCAGGGTGTCCAGGGCCATAGTCTCAGGGGTTTCTGGGTTTCTCCAGTCTCTGTCAGACCAGTAAGTTCGGTCTTTTTTGTGAATTTGAATTTTGTTCTACATTTTTCTCCCACTCTGTCCAGGACCTTCTATTGTGATCCCTGTCAGAGCTGTCAGGGTGGTAGCCAGGCATCGTCTATAGTTTTGGGCTCAGGCTAGTGGAGGCTATGGTTCATGTGGTCCATTAGTTCTCTGGACTAATATTTTCCTTGTGTCGTTGGTTTCCTTCATTCTTCTTTGCTCCAAACGTGATGGGACCAATATATGTAACTTAGATATCCAGTAAAGTCTTTTGATGAACAAAAGTTTTTAATTTTTATGAGGTCCTATTTTTTTTTTTTTGATGTTTGTGCTTTTGTTATTATACTAGATAATCCAATGTTAAAAGCTAGACCTGACTGCGTAGCCCCTGCATTTTCTTCTAAGAATTTTATGGTTTTAGTTTGCACATTTAGGTCCTTAATCCATTTTGAATTTGTTTTTCAAACATCTACAAAAGTCTTCCCTAAATATTGATCAGGTTTCGTAAACTAAAATAGGCAAAAGCGTATGTTTTAATGAAACTATAAGTAAAACATTTGTTTGTATATATATACTTTTTTTCCCCAAATTATTATAGACACCTTGGTATCCAAACAATTGATAAAGGGAAGTTTCTCTTGATAAAAGTATTCCAGTAAATAAAGAAGAAATGATAGACATTATATGCCTCCTGATGGAAGTACATACTATCAACTATGAAGTATTCTAGCCAAAAACTTGAACCTGAATCTGATCTAACCACCAATTTATAGGGATAGAGAAACTTTTAGAGTACATCATGCAATCAACAAAACCTAGACTGTGAGAAGCTCTACAGGACAAATGACTTGGTTTATTCAATAAATACACAGCAAGGAAGATGGGGGAAGGTAGAGGTGGTAGTGGAAAAAGGGAGTGGAGAGGGGGAGGAGGGAGAAGGGGAAGAATGCGGAAAAAGACAGAAGAGAGTGAGTTGGTGGGAGAAGAGACGAAGGGGGAGGAATAAAAGGGAAAGGGGGAGGGAGGGAGGGAGGAAAAGGAGAAAGCAGTCTGCCTGTCTTTAGATTAGAAAGTGTAAGAGACTTATCCCTCAACTGCAATGTACAGACCTTATTTGCATCCTAATTCAAACAAACTATTTAAAGTCAACTGGGAGAAATCTGAACACTGGAATTTGATATTAACAAATTATTGCTAATTTTTAAAGTCATGATAATAGTATTGTTATTGTATTTAGAAAAAGAGCAATGATTTTTTAAAAAGATAACCTGTTGCCATTGAGTCGACAGTAGCACTGACCCATAGGGTTTCCAAGGAGTGGCTGGTGGAATGGAACTGCTGACCTTTTGGTTAGCAGTCTAGCTCTTAACCACTGTGCCACCAAGGCTCAAGATACCTATTGAATACTTATGGATGAAGTGGTATCTGGGGTTTCCTACAAAATAACTGGGATAGGAGGAGTGTGAAGTGGTACGGATGAAACAAAACTGGCCATAATCTACTTTTGTAAATGTTAGAAAATTTTCATAATAAAATATTAAAAAATAAAACCTTTTTAGAAGCAAAAATAAAAATTATCAGATTCCTCTTCTCAAGTAAAATCTGAATTCCCATTACCTGCGTTCACATGGAGAGGGATGTTTTCTACGATCACGTGCGGCAGAATGATAACGGTACTTATGACAGGGGTGTTTCCCATGGCTGAAGTTCTATGGAAAGAAAGTCAGCTTTCAAACTCACATTTTATGTAGGAAGTGAATAAATACAAACCAAACAGGAACATGTATATCCATCAACTAGTTTCAAAGAAGCATTTATCCATTTCCCAAACCTTTATTAGGCAATAGTTTTGTGAAGCAAGAGCTTTTGGAATCCCATTTTTGTTTTGAATATTTCCCGTTAGCAAGTATCTTAACCCAATGTTGCTGTTTGTTATCAGTGGGTGATATATAAAATTAAGGAGCTGTGCCAGACTATAAATCAACTACCTCACGGAGCACGCCATTTTAATACAGCGTTCTGGTAGCAAGACTTTCTCAGTGTAGGAAGTACTGTGGTGATTTACACTATGACACAAACTTCTTATCTCACTAAGGACATTCACAGACAAGCACCAATCTTCAGACTTTGGAGAGTGCTGTTGTAACTAAAACTCTAAGTACGTAGTAGAAACTGAAGAATTAAAAACATTTTACTGTCAACGCATAGTGGTGTCCCAATGGTTACTGCGATAATTTGGGTAACATTAGGGAACTGTCAAATACGTCCTCTTTATTACAGTTAGGGTGGGAACTAGAGGGCGGCTGGCCCTGCATCTGTGGTGGAACAGCTGAACTAGTGAGCACCCTTACAGAGCAAAATCAACAGATGAGGGCATCTCAGCCTTCACCACTAATAAATGTAAGTCTTTAGAGTATTAAGGCGGCACGAAGAAGTAATTAAGCAGTTCCTTCAAAATGTTTTACTCTTAAATGAACATGTAAACTAAATGTAAATATAGAATTACATACAGATGGAAAATCCAAAAGTGGGGAAAAGAAAGATAATTGAGATAGTTTTTAAAAAAATATAATTAAATTACATTATTTTTACTGTCCTATTTTTAAATAAAATTATACTCGTTTTAAAACTTACTATGAAATAAAGACATACAAAAAGAATAACACATCAAACATCATGTGTCTACCTCCTAGCCTAAGAAACTAACTTTATAAACACGTTGAATCTCCCTGTGTACCCCTTCCTGCCTGCATCACCCACCCTCCTTTCCACAGGTAACCACGAGCCCAAACTGGTGCCTACCATTCCCATGTACTTTGTCACACTTTTCTGAATTAGGTATGTAGCCCTAAGCAACATACAGGATGTTTTATATGTTTTCCAATTTTATATACCTAGAATTTGTTTATATTCTCACCTGCAGCTTGCTTTGTTCACTTAACATTAATGTGTCGATAGGTGTAGCTCTGGTTCATTCATTTTCATTAATATATAGTATTCCATTGTCTGAACATGTCATAATTCATCCTGTTGATGGACATTTAGCTTCCAATTTTTTAGTATTACCGTTGGTGCTGCTATGAACATCCTTATAAATATTTCATTTGTGTGCTTGTTTCTGATCTGTTTCTAGGACTGTAGGACACAGGTATCTTCAACTTTACCTGCTGCTGCTGGATAGAGTTCTAAATCAATTGTTCTAACTGTGGCATTGTTAAATCTTTCTATTTTTCAAAACCAGTAGGGAGTATATCTGAATCCCAGTGTGGCTTTAATTTGTCATGCCCAATCACTAGTAAGGTTGAGCTTCTCTCCATATGTTTATTGGCCATCTGGCTTCCTTTGGTAATTTAAGCTACTTACTCAAGTATCCTGCTCAACCTTCTGTCAGGTGATTTGTCTTAGTATCACTGTAGAAGTTCTTGATATGAATGGCAATCCTTTGTCACTTATATATGTTACAAATACCTTTTCCCAATTTTTTTTTTTAATACAATTTCTATGGTGTTTTTAAATGAAATCAAATATTTAATTTTAAGAAAGCTAATTCATCAGTGTTAGTGGCTGGATAGACTGACACAACGGCTGCAACAATGGGTTCAAACATAGCAATGATTGTGAGGATGACGCAGACTGGGCAACATTTCATTCTGTTACATATAAGGCTGCTATGAGTCAGAGCTAACCTAATGGTACCTAATAACCACAAATGGCTGGTACTTTTTTTCATTATGCTTAATGAAATTCTTCCCTACCCCAAAGTTATAAAGTAATTCTCTTGTATTTTCTGTTAAAGTTATAGTTTTGCTTGTTAAAAATTAGCCTTTAACGTATCTGTAATCTTTAACATAAGTGGAATTAATCTTTATATACAGTGTACCCAGTAGGGATCGGTTTACTTTTTCCAAATGGATAGCCAGTTGTTCAGCAGCAATTATAAAACAGTTCATCTTTTTCCAACTGATCTGCCATGCCACCACTGTAAAATACTGTTTCTATGAATGTGTAGATCCATGAATCTACTTCTAGACTCTCTTCTGTTCCACTGGCTTATTTATATATCCCCATGCCAATACCACTGTGTCTCACTATCACAGCTCCATAATCAGTCTTGGAATCTGGAAGGATGAATACTCTTGCCTAGCTCTTCTTCTGTGAGTATCCTGACTATTTCTTTTTGCCTTTCCACATAAATTTTAGAATCAGAGTGTCAAGTTCTACAAAAGAAAACAAAACAAAAAAGAACAAAAAACTGCTGCCATTCTGACGGAAACTGCATTGAATCTATAGATCAATTTGTATATCTATCCCATTTATTTAGGTCTTCCTTTAAGGTTTTGAAGTTTAATAATTTTCTCCATAAATTTAATGTACTCTTCTATTAGATACATTCCTAGACATCTTATTTTTTTCTTGCTATGTACGTGATATCTATATTAAAAGGACACTGTGTAGAGGTTTACTACTGATATAAGAAATGCAACTGATTTTTATATATTGATGTTAGATCTTGCAACCTTGCTGAACTCTGTATTAATTCTAATAATTCGTTGCTTTCGTTTGGTTTTCTAAATAGACAGTCCTACTGATTGAAAATAAGGACATTTTTGTCTCTACTAATGTAGAAACTTATTCTTCAGATTCAGTTTTGTTAAAATTTCATCAGCATATAGTCACAACTGTGAAAAACGCAAATAAAAGTTTAAGTATCATTTTTAGTCTTTGTGTTTTGGACAAATGGTTCAGTTATATCCACTGGGCAGAACACTGACTTCTAGTCTGCTCTCCAGAATGACAGAAGCGCTATTTAATGACAATGGCAAACACTGACAGTATTAAAATAGCAAAGACATTAAAGAAAAGGTAGGACTGATATCATTTTTACCTCTTCCAGGAGATAATATAACGCCCAGTTGCAACTCCACCTTCAACATTTCCGAGAGATGGGCACTGAAGACAAAAGCATTCACTGGCACTCTCTCCGGTCTGCAAGACAACTACAAGAAAGAGTCTTTATTATCTTTATGCAATGGTTTCATCTATGAAAGGAGAGTTTCATATCCAATCAATATAACAAAAAAGGAATACCTTATCATTTATGTATATATTACTTCTAGAGACTTGGAAACTAAAGCTCAAAGAGGTTAAGCGACTTTGTCAGGGCCACAAAACTAGTACACGTTTGAGGTGATAAATCAAATTAGCTTCTCTGAGTTCTCTGGCCAGAGTTTTTTCTAATATATCAATATTCCATTATTACTTTAAAAAAAAAACTAAAACAAAAAAAACAGGTGAGGCCTCTGTATGTCTGTGGCAAGATCCTACTGAAAATAATGAATGGAAGAAGTCTAGAGACAAAATAATACCCTATGCTGATTATTCTTCAACTGAAAACATTTCAGGGTAGAAAAAAAAGAACAAAAACTGTGGTTATCCCTTAAGGACTCACAGTGACCTTCTCTAAATAAATATATTTTATTATTGATATCACTCAACTAGAAAGATACCACATATTGCCTCATTATTGCCTAATATGGCTTCTGTCTTCCTCTTGCCAATTTTATAGTAAATTCCCTGATGAGAAGATAACTGCCCATCTCAACCAAACCTTCCCTCCCTCCCTTTCAGCAATGCACTGCCTGCAATGTCACTTCTTTTAAAAATAAGGAGGCAATAGTGCCTATCTAATGCCAATCTTAGCAAATCTGTCAATGACACTTTGAAAAGATAACAGCAAAGTCTCTAAACATCTGGTTATTGTTTTCATCGTTTTCCAACGAAGAAGGCTGTGACAGATTAATGGAGATCTAATACCAGCAGTGAAAGGGGAAAGAGCTAGGTCAATTTTTACTTTAATTAATGACTTTTAAGTAACTGTAAGGATTACAAAGTGATAGTGTAGCCCAATAAGTGAAACTCACTTGAAGGAAAAAAAATATCAATTTAAAACACCTGAGACAACTTTTTAAAGAACCTGAGCCATTCATAGTAAAGTTACTCAAAGTTCTCCCTAGTTCTGGGAAGCTGACCAAAATGACCATGATGTTAATGAATAATTAACATTAGGGTCAAATTTATGACATACAAAATCTATATTTTTAATGTGCCGAACACAAATTCTATAGTGCATTGTACTCCTGGAGATTCAAATCAGAGCATACTCATTAACCTAATAAACATTTATTAATGAGCTACTATGATACTGGCAGGTTCCTAGGTGGGGCAAACAGTCCGCGCCTAACTGCCTACCTAACAGTTGGTGGTTCAAACCCACCCAGTGGTACCGTGGAAGAAAAGGCCTGGCAATCTGCTTCCATTAAGGTTACAGCTAATATGTGCTAACCGTTTAATGAGAAACTGTTCTGTAAACCTTCATCTAAATACAAAAAAAAACCCCAAAAAACAATTATCTATGTGAAATCAAATTGACAACAGCAACTCAAAAGGTTTGATGGGAAGCCTAGGAACAGTGAGGTGAAGATAATGGTGATGGGATAATTTGGAAAAGGACAGTGAGAATAGCAAAACAACTGGAAGGATGTAATCGATGTCACTGAATTGTACATGTAGACATTTTTTGAAATGGTGTATCTTTGGCTATGTATATTTTCACCAAAAGAAAAACAACAACAACAAAAAAATCCTCCAAGGTCGAGAAGGGAGAGCGTTGACATGTCATGGGGTTGTTAACCAATGTCATAAAACAATATGTGTACTGACTGTTTAATGGGAAACTATTTGTTCTGTAAACCTTCACCTAAAGTACAGTTAAAAAAAAAAAGATTACAGCCAATAAAACCCTATGGAGCAGTTCTACTCTGTAACACGCAGGGTCTCCATGAGCTGGGCTGACACCACGATAGTTAACAACAACAAAACCCAACAACGTGATGCTGACAATACAAAGATGAGGAAGGCAGCTCTGGCTTTAAGGAGCGCATAGTCTTGTATGGGAACCAGATCTATAAGTAATTACAGTATGATGGGATAGGTGTTCTAAATGAAAAAAGTATGTACAAAATACCACAGGAACAAAGAAGGAACAGTACTTAGCCCTGCCTAACAGGACCAAGATATCAAAGCTTACGTGAACCCTAAAGAGCAAGCAGAAGTCCAAGAGGTCTAAAAAGAGGAGGGAGAGGATTTGGGACAAAAGCAACATGTTCAAAAGCAGATGGGAGCGGTGCTTGGTGAATGTAGGAAGTTTAGCATGGCTGAAGTCTGGGAGCAAGCACAGGGAAGCAGAGAGACTAGTGAAGAGGAGATTGGAAGGTAAGCTGGAGTCTGATTGGGAAAGTGTGCTATGTCATGACACTTCTTAAAGGAATGACAAGTTCTGCCGAGTTTTTCTGAGAAATCAAACTCTAGCAGCAATATGAAAGACTAGGGGAGAGAAAATGGCTGGTAAGAAAGAAACCAGCTAATAAACTACTTTATAGGCCCGGTGAGAAATGATGAGGACAGCAGAGAGTATGGAGATAAGAAGCTGGATTCAAGAGATGTTTAGCAAGTAGAACTGGTGTTAGGCTTACCGTGGGTTTGAAGGAGTTTAGTTTTTCTCTGCATTTATAGCTACAGTAGGTGTACAGTGACTCCTGTAACCAGATGAGGAAATGCAGATAGTCTAAGGTTATGGGGTTCTTAGGTAATGTAAATAGTTAATGCACTAGGGTGCTAACTGAAAGGTTGGAGGTTTGAGTGCACCCAGAAGCACCTCAAAGAAAGGTCTGGCAACTCACTTCTGAAAAATCAGCCACTGAAAATCCTATGGAGTACGGTTCTACTCTTGACACACATGGGGTCACCATGAGTCGGAGTCAACTCAACGGCAATTGGTGGTAAGGTTATGAGGCAGCTGAGGACAGAGGATAAAAAGAGGGACCAAAGTCAGGATCTTAAAAAGGACCAAAATTTAAGGAGGGAATCAGCAAACAATGGACAGATAATCAGCGTTTACTGAGCACCTGTTATAAGACAAGGATTGGGCTAAGATATTTCATATACATTATTTCACGTACACCACCTTCTTTAACTCTGAGAAGTGACAAAACAAGATGAACCATCCTCAGAAGTAGGTGATGAAACAACAAACTGTCCAAGTTAACAAGAGAGCAAGCAGTAGGGCTGAGAAGTAAATTCAGTCCAGTCTGACTCTAAACCTCATGATTACTCCAAATTAGCACAGTGAAAACACAAGGAAGGAGAGGACAGAGAAAAGTAGAAGTGGAGACACTGATGTCGAAAAACACAAACGAAGGTCAAGCTTGTAGAATGGAGTCACCAACACTTACGAAGGCATTCTGAAAGCATAAAATGTTTATTATTATTATTACTACAGAATGTGAAATGTTTTTAGCATTTAAATATTAGAGACGAGGCCCTGGGTGGTGCAAACGTTAAGCTCTTGACTACTAGCCAAAAGGTTGGTGCTTCAGACCCACCCAGAGGTGCCTAAGGAGAAAGGATTGGCAATACGCTTCCAAAAGGTTTAAAAAAAAAAAAAAAACCCCAAACCCATTGCTGTTGAGTCGATTCCAACTCATAGCAACCCTACAGGACAGAGTAGAGCTGCCCCATAGGGTTTCCAAGGAGCGCCTGGTGGATTTGAACTGCCGACCTTTTGGTTAGTAGCTGTAGTTCTTAACCACTACACCACCAGGGTTTTTGTTTCCAAAAGGTTACAGACATGAAAACCCTATGGAGGAGTTCTGCTCTGCAACACATGGGGTCGCCACAAGTTGGGGTGGACTTCATAGCAACTAACAACAACTAATCAGACTTAGTAGCACGCTTCATTTTATCTACTGATCTTACTTAAAGATTTGATGCCAAGATCTTATGCAAGAACCCAACCATACTATCATTCCAATGGGAAATGATGCCTCTTTTATAACCTAGTTTCCTAAAATGCATAGAAGTGAACTACAGAGACTGGTATTTTCTTGGGAGCCTAGTATGATGGTTTATAGTAAAACACTTGATAAATATTTGTTGATTATTTATCAACAAATATTGAAACTTATTTTCAGGGCAGATGAAAATTCTAAATGTATTTGCTTTTGTGAAAATAAGTCTCAAGTTCTCTCACTCAGCAAAAAGTGAACTCTTGCTTACATTACTAACTTACACACACACACACCCCTCGCCTGTTAATTAAGTGGGAGTGATCCCAATTCTCACCTCTGTTCACCTGGGACTCTAGCTGATCCACTGGGGTCATAGAAGGAGCAAGCTGCAGCTCACTGGACACAATAGTGAGGGCCCAAGGAGAGGCACTTAAAATGTCTGTCATCAACAGAAAGGGGATGTCAGCATAGACCCTTTCTAGGTGCTCAAACTGTCACAAAGGAAGACAAAAAGTCTGTCAGGAATTATACTTAATCCATTTCTTTTTTTTTTTTTTTTTTTTTTTACCAATTTCTATAATCTAAATGATTTCCAATATTCTTCTTAGGAACATACCTTTGTAGAAACAAATTTAACTGCAACATCAAATGGAAAGACGGTTTCTATTGTTACAGTTTCATCCTGCAAGGAAATTTTAAGAGTACATTCAATGTCTTTCCTAAATTTTAACAATAAACAAAGTTTTAAAAATATAAGGCATACAAAATTTATTATTACTAATTAATAAATAATCCCAATTTATATAGTAAGATGGTAGGGTCTTTACCTTAGATAGTATTTGTAAAAAATCTATGTAGAGAGACCTAACTACTATTTCTGAGAAACTGCCTTGCAATTTGGTAACAGTTCACACTACAAACTGCTTCTTATACACTATTTATCTCAAGATCTAGTGAAGCAGGCAAGGTAGGCATTATCACCATTTTGCCAAAGGTTAAGAAAGACTAAGTGACTTGCCTAAGTCCACAAAGTAGTGGTGCCAAGCCTAGACTCTGGGTCTTCTTTCTGTCCAAGTTCTTTACCTCACCTCGGCTCAAGATGACTAAAATAATAATAACGAAGATAACAACAATAATAATGTAATGTGACAGACACTGTTATAATCACTATGCATGTACTATGTAATACTAACAGTAACTCAAGGAAGTAGGTGCTATCATTATTGTCATTTTAAGAGAAAGAAGTTACATAGCTAACAAGTCGCAGAGGCAGGACCAGAACCTAATCTGACCCTGGAGCCTGCATGTACTCTTAACCAGCATACTACATTACCTCTCTACAAGAGCCTGTTCGAAAAACAATTGGGTTATTACATCCTTCAAATCAAATAACCCACCCTGTTGGTGAAAACCTTTAACAAAGGCCATGCAGTAGACTGGTCAATAGCTCAGGCTATAATGTCAGATCTAGATCTAATCCCGACCAGATACACATTCACCAGCTGTGTGACTGGTCACAGTGACGTGACCTTTAGAAAGTCATATGGTCTCTGAAAGCCTCAGTTTCAATAATCCTCACAGAGTTAAGAGGATTAACATAAAGCATTTAGCAAAGTGCCTAAATAAAGTTTATTATTATTATATGCTCCAAATTATTTTTTCCCTTAATATCATCAAGATAACTTTTTTAAAAAAAGTACAATCCAAGCCAAAACCAAACCTGTTGCCGCTGAGTTGATTCCAACTCATAGCGACCCTACAGGATAAAGTAAAACTGCCCCATAGGGTTTCTAAGGAGCAGCTAGGGGATTCCAACTGCAGACCTTTTGGTTAGCAGCTGAGCTCTTAATCACTGCACCACCAGGGCTCCAAAAGTACAACAGGTAGGATATATAAGACATTCACGTTCATTTTAATGGTTGAAAAAAATGTGCAATGATTCCATGTGGTAAATAAAGCCTAGGGCCCTCAATATTTCCCCACAAAAAAGACCTATGGAAATCAATACGTAACTCGATGATTAGCTAAGATTTGGCCTACTTTTAATTTCTACATGGCCTACAGGGCAGATTCACTTATAGGTAAAAATGAGATTTAATCCAGTAATGGGAAAATAATTTGCATTTACTGACTACCTACTACGGTGAGTAGGCAAGGCAGGCATTATCACGATTTTACCAAAGGTTAAGAAAGATTAAGTGACTTGCCTTGTTACTACCTAACAAGTGCCTTATACAGGCTCACACATTTAAAGGTTGCAGCAACCCCCTGGGATAGGTTCCATTATCCCAGTTTTATAGACAAGGTCAGTATTTTACATTAGGTCAGAGTTAGTAAGTGGTAGACCAAGGTTCCAGAGTTCTTAAGTAGATTTAAACCCACATCTCCCTCACTCCAAAGCTGATTTCCTGTGTATACCACTCCACTTCCCTAAATACTGTATACATCTGTTCTCTCCCCTGTACAAACAGTTCCTATCTACAGCTCTAATACTATAGACAATATGGTACCCTTCAATCTATGCAGACTCAAATACTGTGAAGAATTAGGTCACAGTCCCTAGTTAAAAGACTCTAACAGCAGACATTACATTGAATTTCTGGAATGTTAATATTTTCTCCCCACATGTTAGAGCTGGTGTCTCCTCTCTTAGGTGAGATGGTTTTTCTTTTTATTTCTAAACTATCATTTCTCTAGCAGCTTTTCTCAGGGGTTTCTTGAGAGAAGCAAGCCTAGTGTCCCATGGAAGCCTACTGTATGGAATAACTTAACTCCTCTCCAATGCAACTAGAACGTGCTATCCCTGGAAGAAATGGAGGTGAGGGGAGTCACTCATAACATTGTTTGAGTTCTGTGGTTGAAATGAGAAATCCTGGCTGAGAAAGGCTGCTAGAGTGCTCCCTAGCTATCCTTCTTTGGCCTGGGATGAGCAGCCTCTGTCTTGCCAAAAAATGCTTTCCAAATAATACTACAGCCTGCAAGACATTCTATGAGAAAAATGCTTCTTGGTAAAGTAAGTCTGAAGGATAATCACTACAGCCATTTGTGAAGATTCTTCATACACATTAGCAATTTAAATGCTCTGCTAAGCCCTACAGTAAAAATACTTATTTAACATCTTTTAACCCAGTTTTTTCAACACACATGTGATCAATTATTTCTTTTTTGTGTAACATCTATTTCTATCCCTCAGACCTAGTGTCCTTAGAAATGCATCTTGGGAATGAACTGACTGATAGAAACAAATACATCATTCTCAAATAAAAGTAGTATGGACCTCAATAACATAATTGAGGAGTCATGAGGGGAAGAGAACATTGCTTAAAGCAGCACATTGCTTTAGCTTTATTCCAGGATAGTTATTAGACAGCAAGTAACTATTTTAAAAAAACGTACATTCCAAGTCTATCACAAACTTCATTGTCGTAAGTAGAAAACGATATTCAAGTCTTAGGACTCTACAACTGTAAAGAACTTTAACATTCTTATCTTACAGATGAGAAAACTGAGGCCAAAAGAAGTTAACTGACTTGCCCAAATTCACAAGGTTGGAGGCAGTGCTGAGGTTAGCACCCTTATCTATCTCCTATTCACCATCTAAAACCAAAGAAAAACGAAAAAACACCCAAACCCATTGCTGTCAGTTCGATTCCGACTCATTCTGACCCCACAGGACAGGTCCCATAGCGTTTCCAAGGAGCAGCTGGCTGGTGGATTCAAACTGCTTATCTTTTGGTTGGCAGCTGGGCTCTTAACCACTGCGCCACCAGGGCTCCATTCACCATCTAGGACTCCTTTTCTTACACCAGGATAAGTGAAATTTTTGACAGTATGTGACCTGACTTCCTTCCTCCCACTTGGGAAACACTCCTAACTCTCTTGAGATGGGTTTTCCCTCCCAGTGACTTGTAAACAATCCAAGGCTAGGCTCTATGCAGTACCCAAGCTACAAAGTCCCAAACTGCCAGGACTTCTCCTCTGCTGGGATGGGGACTCAATTCCTAAAAAGAGCCTGAGACAACACTGTGCAGGGCTAAGAAGATTTTAAATATCGTAACTTTCCATTAATAAAAGAGGAAACAAGTATCACGTACAATATGATTAAATTTATATAAAAATGTGATTAACAAATCCCTATAAATAGAAAAGAGATCAGTAAGAAACAGTTACCAGCAGCTGCCTTTAAGTTGTTGGACCGTGACTGTACTAGCTTTCCTATTTTCACTCCCTTCTATGTGTACTCACCACAAAAAAAAAAAAATTTCAGAACTTCTTTTTTAATAATGAAAAGATACTTCAAAAACGGAGACCTCCTTTCCTCCAAAATCTTCTGTCAACTTAGATTTTATCTAATGTGTGATTTTGTAAAGAAGTAGATTTACAATCCCAGTATCTAACAGGTTAGCATGAGATCTCAAATCTGTTCATTCCATATACAACAAGCCACGTAGGCCAACTTCAGTCTAATGTTGGAGTAATGAATGCCACTCTAAACAAATCTAAATGATAAGAAAAGCAACAGACGTTCAATTAAAATTTATAATAAACTATAAGCACCTAAGCTGCTTATTTTAGAGGTAAACTAAAATAACACAAAATAAGGGAACACTCTATATATGATGCTTTGTGAAGTAGCTAAAAAAAAATACCTTGTGACACCTGCAAACAATCTCTTTGTCTTCAACAGTTGTATTGATCAGGTAAGAAACAAAGACCAGAAACATCCTTGAACCCACTGTTCCACAGCGAACATACAACATTTTTTCCAGCTGTAACAAAATAAGTTTTAATATAATAGTACAGCAATTTCCTTCTGATATGTATTCTAGAATAATGTTCCCACATTTTAAGAGGTCACTATACCAAATGGTTAGATTCTTTAAACACTTTTTATAGGCTGTTGTGTGTAACTAATCAAAGATCTCACCATGGAAAAGTACCCTGAGGATGCCCTTTATCACCACTCTTACTCAACATTGTGCTGGAGGTTCTAGCCAGAGCAATTACGCTAGACAAAGAAATAAAGGGCATCCAAATCGGTAGGGAAGAAGTCAAAGTATCTCTATTTGCAGATATGATCTTATACACAGAAAACCCTAAAGAATCCACAAGAAAACTACTGGAACTACTAGAAGATTTCAGCAAAGTATCAGGATATAAGATAAACATACAAAACTCACTTGGATTCCTTTACACCAACAAAGAGAACTTCAAAGAGGAAATCACCAAATCAATACCATTCACAATAGCCTCCAAGAAGATAAAATACTTAGGAATAAACCTAACCAGAGACGTAAACGACCTATACAATGAAAACTACAAGACGCTACTGCAAGATACCAAAAGAGACTTGCATAAGTGGAAAAACACACCTTGCTCATGGATAGGAAGACTCAACACTGTGAAAATGGCAATTCTACCCAAAGCAATCTACAGATACAATGCAATCCCAATCCAAATTCCAAAAGTATTTTTTAATGAGATGGAGAAACAAATCACTAACTTCATATGGAAAGGGAACAGGCCCCAGATAAGTAAAGCATTACTCAAGAAGAAGAACAAAGCGGGAGGCCTCACACTACCTGATTTTAGAACCTATTATACTGCCATGGTAGTCAAAACAGCCTGGTACTGGTACAACAACAGACACATAGACCAATGGAACAGAATTGAGAATCCAGACATAAATTCATCCACCTATGAGTAGCTGATATTTGACAAAGGCCCAAAGTCTGTCAGTTGACGAAAAGACAATCTCTTTAACAAATGGTGCTGGCATAACTGGATCTCCATCTGCAAAAAAATGAAACAAGACCCATACCTCACACCATGCATAAAAACTAACTCAAAATGGATCAAAGACCTAAATATAAAATCTAAAATGATAAAGATCATGGAAGAAAACATAGGGACAATGCTAGGAGCCCTAATACATGGCATAAACACAAAACGAACCATAAGTAACAATGTACAAGCACCAGAAGAGAGACTAGATAACTGGGAGGTCCTAAAAATCAAACACTTATGCTCATCAAAAGACTTCACCGAGAGAGTCAAGAGACAACCTACAGATTGGGAAAAATTTTTTGGCTACGACAAATCCAAACAGCGTCTAATCTCTAAAATCTACAAGATACTGCAAAACCTCAACAACAAAAAGACAAATAACCCAATTAAAAAATGGGCAAAGGATATGAAAAGGCACTCCGCCAAAGAAGATATTCAGGTGGCTAACAGACACATGAAGAAATGCTCATGATCATTAGCCATCAGAGAAATGGAAATCAAAACTACAATGCAATACCATCTCACCCCAACAAGGCTAGCATTAATCCAAAAAACACAAAATAATAAATGTTGGAGATGTTGTGGAGGGACTGGAACACTTAAACACTGTTGGTGGGAATCTAAAACGATACAATCACTTTGGAAATTGATTTGGCGTTTCCTTAAAAACCTTGAAATAGAAGTACCATATGATCCAACAATCCCGCTCCTTGGAATATATCCTAGAGAAATAAGAAAAGTTACACGAACAGAGATAAGCACACACCCATATTTATTGCAGCACTGTTCACAATAGCGAAAAGATGGAAACAACCTAGGTGCCCATCAATGGACAAATGGATAAACAAATTATGGTATATTCACACAATGGAATACTACATAACGATAAAGAACAATGATGAAGCCATGCAACATCTTATGACATAGAGGAATCTGGAAGGCATTATGCTGAGTGAATTCAGTCAGTCACAAAAGGACAAATATTGTATAAGATCGCTATTATAAGAACTCAGGAAAAGGTTTAAACACAGAAGAAAACATTCTTTGATGGTTAGCAGGGTGGGGAGGGAGGGTGAGGGGTATTCACTAACTAGATAGTAGACAAGAATTATCTTAGGTGAAGGGAAGGACAGTATACACTACAGGGAAAGTCAACACAACTGGACTAAACCAAAAGCTGTTTCCTGAATACAACCAAACACTTCGAGGGACAGAGTAGCAGGGGCAGGGGTCTGAGGACCGTGCTTCCAGGGGACATCTAGGTCAATTGGCATAACAAAGCTTATTAAGAAAATGTTCTGCATCCTACTTTGGTGAGTGGCGTCTGGGGTCTTAAAAGCTAGCAAGCGGCCATCTAAGATGCATCGATTGGTCCCAACCACCTGCACTAAAGAAGAATGAAGAACACCAAAGACACAAGGAAAGTATCAGCCCAAGAGACATAAACCAGAGACTTCACCAGCCTGAGACCAGAAGAACTAGATGGTGCCCGGCTACCGCCTATAACTGCCCTGACAGGGAAAATAACAGAGAGTCCCTGATGGAGCAGGAGAAAGGTGGGGTGCAGAACTCAAATTCTAGTAAAAAGACCAGACTTAATGCATTGTCTGAGACTGGAGGAACCCTGGAAAGTATGGCCCCCGGACTGTCTTTTAACCCAGAACTAGAACTACTCCCAAGGCCAACTCTTCAGACAAAGATTGGACTGGACTGTGGGACATAAAATGATACTCGTGAAGAATGTGCTTCTTAGCTCAAGCAGATACATGAGACTAAATGGGCAGCTTCTGTCCGGAGGTGAGAAGAGAAGGCAGAGAGGGTTAGGAGCTGGCCGAATGGACGCTGGAAATCAGGGGTGGAAAAGAGGAGTGTGCTGTCACAGTATAGGGAGAGCAATTAGGGTCACTTAACAATGTATGTATAAATTTTTGTATGAGAAACTAACTTGAAATGTAAACTTTCATTTAAACTACAACAATAAACAAACAAACAAACAAAAAGTACCCTGAATATATTCTTGCCACAGCCTAAGAATGGGGTCATTACTACTCCATTTTTTTAAATCATTCTCAACTTCCCAAGATTTCTTTGTGTTTGATTTGGAAATAAAAGCTGACTATAGACAGGTTATTTCACTGAGTTATGAACAACTGTTATTTTATCAGGCAAGTAATTCTTCACATTAGGATCATTTGTTCTTAAGATCACTTATATAGAAACTGCTTAAAACAGTTTTCACATTTACATGTGTAAAATGTGTGTAAAACGTTCATTAATGAAGTCACTTTTTTCAGTCCCAGGGCATGAAATTCACTGTATATTTAAAACTACAAACTAATTGATTTCCTCTCCAATCACAGCTGCCCAAGTTCACCTGTTCCCCTGGGTGTAACTCTCCAACAGGAACGTCAGTGAGTAAAGCAGGGTGAGAGTCATCACACAGCTCTGCTCCATGAAGAGTCACGTGAGTTTTCTGAGTTAAATTGGCATCCTGTCCTGAAAGTGTTAACATTTGTGTTTTAAAATACAAAGAATTCAAACATTATCATAACAATCAATACTTTAGGAAGGACACTATATCATAACCCGTATTTTAATTTTCTTTATTGTACTTTAGGTGAAGACTTACAGAACAAATAGTTTCTCATGAAACAGCAGTAGACATATTGTTTTATGATATTGCTTAACAGCCCCACAACATGTCAACCCTCTCCCTTCTCGACCTTTTTTTTTTTTGGTGAAAATATACATAGCCAAAGATACACCATTTCAAAAATTTCTACATGCACAGTTCAGTGACATCAACTACGCTCTTCCAGTTGTGCTGCTATTCTCACTTTAGATGAAGGCTTGCAGAACAAAATAGTTTCTCATTTAACAGTACCACATGTTGCCCTGTGACAATGGTTAACAACCTCCCATCAACACTATCCTTACTCAACTTTGGGTTCCCTATCACCAGCTTTCCTGTACCCTTCTGCCTTCTGGCCCTTGTCCCTGGAATACTGTGCCTCATTAGTCCTATTTGGTTTTATGGGGCTGTCCACTCCCAGGCTGAACGGTGAACCTTGGAAATGACTTCACCACTGAGCTAAAAGGGTGTCTGGGGGCCATACTCTCGAGGTTTCTCCAGTCTCCTTTAGGCCAGTAAATCTGGTCTTTTTTTTGTGAGTTAGAATTTTGTTCTACATCCTTTTGCAGCTCTGTCCAGAACCCTCTGTTGTGATCCTGGTCAGAGCAGTCAGTGGTGGTAGCCGGGCACCATCTAGCTATACTGGACTCAGTATGCTGGAGGCCTTGGTAGCTGTGATCCACTAGTCCTTCGGACTCATCTTTTCCTTGTATCCTGTTCTCTTCATTCTCCCTTGCTCCCGAAGGGATGAGACCAGTGGAGTATCTTAGATGGCTGCTCAAAGGCTTTTAAGACCCCAGACGCTACTCACCAAGGTAGAATGTAGAACATTGTCTTTATAAACCGTCATAACCCATATTTTAAACAAATGTCTTAGAATTCACACCTCTGCCTGTTATCTAGTGAATTAATACTGACTAAACTTAACGCTTACCTGGTTTTAAGCCAGCAGTGAGCTTCACATCTCTGATCTGGGTCTTTTCATGGGACTGAACAGTCACAACCAAACAATACATTTCATTCATCAGGGCAGGAGGCTCATGTCGCAGACGTACAGAAATGTTTGGAACTCTGGTTATGATCCTTTGAAAAGAAACCTTTGCTAAGTAACTGATTTTTTAAAAAAACAAATAAGTTATTTAAACAAAGTATTTAAAAGAATTAAGAAGATGACCTTCAACAACTTGTCTGGCAAGACAGACTTACATTGTGCTTGCCTGAATGACTATGCTGTCCCAGTGAACCTCACTGTCAGGTAGCTTAGGTCGTCTTTTGAACGAACGCGATGCCTGTAAGGCTTCCTGGGAGGAAGCAGCATCTCCTCCTCCTCCCTGCCAATTTAAAACTACACATCTTCCTGTCTCGTTGCCTAGAATTAGATCCACTGAAGTAATCTAAAAGAAAAAGGTCTGTCAGAAATTCCATCTGATATTTGTCACCATCCCCTCTCAAAAAAATTACATCTTAGACTGCTAGTTGACAGAGTTAATCTAGAGAACCACAGTGTAACAAGTCAGGACACCTGCTTCTGAGTCTTACTCTGGCCATCCATTAGCTGTAACATTGGCTAATTGTACTCTGGGTTTCAACTTCTTCATCTCAAAAGCAGGGATAACAACGTTTCTAGTCTAAGGGATTACAATCTACAGTCATAGAGCACTGTTCTGATTTTAGCACCTGATATAGTGCCCGACGTAATGGATACTCAATTAGTGGTTGCTTAACGAAATAGGTGGATGTTTTAATGACCTTAATGTATTCTTAACCCAGTTCTTAATTTCACAAATACTTTTCCTGAAAACATTTGTAGTATTAGCAATGAAATGCTTTATTAATTAAAATGTCTCCTTCAATTAACAAATGGATTCAAAATCAGATTATTAATTATGATTTCTGTCTGCTAAGCTTGCTCAAGTACCACGTAAAGAATAAAATATGTAATTAAGGATTACAAAAAGGAATCAGCAAAAAACTCCAGATTGTGGTTCATAATAAAATCAATAGATTCATAGAAATTGTTACGGGAATACTGGTACTACTACCTTGTATTTCTATCTTAGAAATGATCCAAAGTTTAGAGTAGCTAACCATTCCCATTCAGGTCATGGAAAACAAGCACTTAATGAGTACATACTATGTGCTAATCACTAAATCTAAGCAATTTACATCAATTAACTGATTTATTCCTCACAAAACCTTATGAGATAGCTATTATTACCTGTTGCTGATGAGTCGATTCCTACTCATAGCGACCCTACAGGACAGAGAAGAACTGCCCCACAGAGTTTCCAAGGAGCGCCTGGTGGATTCGAACTGCCGACCTTTTGGTTAGCAGCTGTAGCACCTAACCACTACGCCACCAGGGTTTCTGTAGGTACTATCACTATCCCTATTTTACAGATAAATAAACTGGGACACAAAGTGGGTAAACAACTGCCTAGGGTCACAAGCTAGTAAGCTGAAGAACTGGAATTTAAACCCATGTAGTTTGGCTCCAGAATTTATACTCAATAAAAATACTACTTTCATCACATATTTCTGAAAGCCATTTTAATTATCTACATTAAATCAACCTTTAAAAATATTTATCTTCATTTTCTTCTTCAAAAATACGCAATGCAGCAATGTTTAAACATCAAAAAATAGATTTTTAGTCTGAATTGTTATAAAAAATATTTGATATATAATATACGTTGTTTAAAATGTCATGATTATGTATGCAGTCATTAAAAAAATAAAGTTATGTACTTACGTGAAATGATTTCTAACATACACTTCTCAGTGAAAAAAGCCAATTACAGAATATTACATACAGTATACTCTTGATTTTTCTAAACTGGAGAAATTTTAAAACTGTAAATATGTTCATAGAAAAATGTCTGAGGGAAACCTATCAAACTATCATGAATGGCTTCTCTTGGGAATTCCAGGTGGACAATTTTCATTTTTCACTTAAACTTCTATATTATTTGAACCTTTTCTGACATAAACATACTACTTTTATAATTAAAAATATTTTTTAAACAAGTTGTATAACTAACCTCAATTTTCTTTCCCACATCTTCAGTTTTTGCAACAAATTTAAATAAAAATTTTCTTGTTTTACCAGGAACAAAGCACATTTTCTCCTGATTCAAATTTTCTAAAACTTCACTTGCTTTGGATGCTTCTTCTATTACACAGAACTGGTTGTATTCCTGAAAAGTTTAGCAAGGATCACAGTTTATAAATATCAAATGTTAGATGTTTTTCTAATAGTAAACATCAAGTGATTTGGAGCTTGTTAACTCCACTTAAATTTTCAGCAAAAAACTGAAGCATTACAAAGGGTTATTGAAAAAAGGAAGCATTTTTATACCAATTAAAAAAAACATTGCCAATGAGTAGATTCCGACTCACAGCGACACTACAGGACAGACTGTAACTGCCCCACAGGGTTTCCAAGGAGCGGGGTGGATCTGAGCTGCCGATCTTTTGGTTAGCAGTGGTAGCTCTCAACCACTGCCCCACCAGGGTTCCAATTAGAGGTGCTTATCAACTCACTGCTGTCATCAGAAAATGACAATTTACCATACACAAGGTGACTGCTGAAACGTGCTCAGAAGGAGAAACAAAGATCTCCTCTTTGTTCCGCTGGATACTCCTTTTCTTGAAGAGCTCTTTTTCTACTTGGCGTCTGTGACTCTATAATATAATCTCCTGTTTCTCATCCTCCTTGGCTACTTACTATTTTTCCATCAAAGGACTTTTTTCTTCTTCCTGTCCCCTTAATTTAGAGGTTTTAGTCCTTAGCCTTCTTTTCTTTTCTCTTTGTGGTCACTTCATTGGAAAGTTTATCCATTATCCACTATTCAGCACCTCTGTGCTATCTCCTCAATAAAAACTTGAATTCTGTCCTTTTCCTTAACTATAAGCTCATACCCCCAATTGTCTGGAGGACACTTCCACTATCACCTGAGCTTCTACTATCACCTCAAACTTAACATGTCCCAAAATGAATGTATATCTACCTTCCAGAAGAGCATACTCCTTACAGATGAATAAATGAAGACAACTTTCATGTATATATCTCTGGAATCAACATTCTCATCCATTCAATAAGTAGGGAGAACTTTCCAAGAGTCATCTTCTATACCAGCAGATGAATTACCATCGTACAAAATTCTTATACGGTTCAAATTTTATACTTTCCCTCTAATTTTCATTTCCATTCCATGCTGATAAAACCTAAATACTTTCAATTTTTTCTTGTGATCTGTAACTTGAGTATCAAATAAAATACATTCAGAATAAATATAATTTTTAAAATTGGCTGCTTTACATTCTATCATTTTTATTAGTTTTTAATTATAAAAGTAGCATACACTTGTTGGGAAAAAAAAAAAAAGATAGCAGGATATGAAGGGAAAAGTAAAATAGTCCCTGTGAACCCTCTAATTCCAGACTTAAGAGTGTTTCATGATAAGCAAAAAAAATGATCTGTCTTCATGGAGCTTAAATGTTAGCAAGGAAAACAAGTAATTTACCAGATAATCAGACAAAGGTGAACACACAGCTGCAATTAGTGCTATGAAGGAAGTCGGTCCTGGTCCTTGCCCCACAAATGCTTACATTTTAATGGGGTTACATTGCTGTGTTTTTTCAGGTTCACCATCATGCTACAAACATTTTAACTCTCAATAAATGCTTGTTGGTTAAAGGCTCAACATACGTTCTGGATAACTAGAAGATGATAATTAAGTGAGCTTAAAATTAAAAGAGTTGGATGTAATCAAGTCTTTTGGTACTTGACTATACCATATCACACCTCAAAAATGTTCAAAAGCAGAAAATATGGTATGATCCTAGTTCTGCAGAAAAAAAAAAAAAGTTGCTTATATATGCTTGCATGAAGCTAGCAGTGGTTCAGAGGTAGAATTCTTGCCTTCCGTGTGGGAGACCCATGTTTAACTCCCAGTCAACACACCTCATGCACAGCCACCACTCATCTGTCAGCGAAGGTTTGTTTGCGTGTCGCTATGATGCTGAACAGGTTTCAAAGGAGTTTCCATACTAAGATGGATTAGGAAGAAGGCCTGGCAATTTACTTCTGAAAATCAGCCCATGAAAACGCTATGGATCACAACAAGGTCTGTTCTGTAGCGCATGGGGTCATCTGGAGTCAGGGGGACTTGACGGCAGCTAGTAACAATAATATATGCTTGCACAACAAATGTCTAGAGTACTCAAGAGTTAGTGGTGGTGGCCTCTGGAGAGTGGAATTGGAGGATCACACATTTACTTTTCACTTTACAGCCTTCTATTCCACTTTATTATCAAACTTATATAACCAAATGCTAATAAAAATATTAAAATAGAATACAAAGCAAATGATTTTAAAAATTAGAATATATTCATTTTGAACATATCCTATTTAAAATCCAAAGTTACAAAAATATATACAGAGTTCTCAGATTTCATAAGCATGGAATGAAAACAAAAATTACAGTAGGCCAAATGAGACTAACGAGGTACAGGAGTCCAGTGACAAGGGCCAGAAAGCAGAAGGGGACAAGGAAGCTGGTGATAGGGAACCCAAGGTTAAGTAAGGATATGGTTGATGTGTTGTGAGATTGTTAACCATTGTCATAGGGCAACATTTGTAGTAACTAAATGAGAAACTATTTTGTTCTGTAAGCCTTCATCTTAAGTGAGAATAACAGCACAATTTGAAGAGCGTAGTCTATGTCACTGAACTGTGCATGTAGAAATTTTGGAAATGGTGTATCTTTGGCTATATGTATTTTCACCAAAAAAAAAAAAAGGAGGCTGAGAAGTTTAGAGGGTTGATATGTTGTGGAGTTGTTAACCAATGTTATAAAACAACATGTGTACTTCTGTTTCATAAGAAACTATTTGTTCTGTAAGCCTTCACCTGAAGTACAATAAAAAAAAAAAAATAAACAAATTAGAGTAGGGAAAGTGTACATCTGAATTACTGGTATAGAAGTTTAGAAATATAAATACATTTACATTTAAACCATCCTTACCAAAATTCATTTTCTAATATGAAACCATCAAGACCTAAAATTCACTAAGTTTGTTCTATCTAGTTTAATGCAAGCTACAGTAAGATCTACCCATGGTAAAAACACATTAAAAAGTACTATTACCTGATTATTAAAGCTGACACAGAGCTTGGAAAACCGAATGGGATGCGGACAATCAGCCTTCAGATAAATATCAAGCTGAACAGGAACATCAACATGAAAACTTGGGGCATGAAATTTGGTTTTGCATTGTACTACAAATAAAACGAAAATGTCTGAGTTACTACCAGATACTTTAAATGCACAAAAGTTATTCTCTGAACTGCATTTACTATTCAGAAAGAACCCGTGTGCATTGGTCATTCTTATTGATTTCTGTACTTGTATTTCAATAGATGTAAATGTAGCTCATTTATTAAAAACAAACAAAATTCAAAATAACTCCCAACCATCTTTAATTTTAAAAGCATGGTGCCTCATGTGAAAAGATGTTCCACATCATTAGCCATCAGAGAGATGCAAATCAAAACCACACTGAGATACCATTTCACTCCCACTACGATGGCTAAGATAAAAAAACAGAAAATAACAAATGTTGGCAAGGATGTGGGGTAATTGGAACCTTTATCCACTGCTGGTGGGAATGCAAAACGGCACAGCTGTTGTGGAAAACAGTGTGGCAGTTCCTCAAAAAACAAAAAATAGAACTATCATATGACCCAGCAATTCCACTCCTAGTTATATACCCAAAAGACTTGAATGCAGAGATTCAAAAAAGAGACTTATACATCAATGTTCACTGCAGCACTATTCACAATAGCCAAAAGGTGGAAACAACCTAAATGTCCATCAACAGATGAATGGATAAACAAAATGTGGAATATACACACAATGGCATACTACTCAGCCAGTAGGAGAAATGGATGGAGCTTGAAGACATCATGCTGAGTGAAATAAGCCAATCACAAAAGGGCAAACATTGTATGGCCTCACTTACATAAAAAGACAAGAAAAGACAAATGTATAGAGACCAAGGTTTATTAGTGGTTATCATGGGCAGGGGGTTGGTGGAAAAGGGGAGTTAATTGTGAGGGAAAAATCGTAATGATTAAGGTTAGGGTTGCACAGCCGATTATTATAATTGCTGGCAATAAGTTGTACACCTGGAAAAAGTTGTGTGATTAAGTTATGTGACAGATATATTTACAATAATGACAAAAAAAAAAAAGTAGCTGCTGAGGCTGCTTATGCACAACCAAACACCTCATGGGATTCGGTTCCCTGGTTTCCTTGGACATTGGAGTTAACTGGCCTATTAACGTGTTTAGTGCTTCTGTTCTACCTCCTAGTTCGTTGCACGGTGCCTGTTGTCTTAAAAGCTTGCAACCAGCCATCCAAGGCACAACAACTGGTTTCTAATCACCTGAAGCAACAAAAGGAGAGTCAGGAACAGGAAGAGGATATGGGATGTGTGGCTAATTGCCTCCATGAATAACTGCCTCCTATGCCATGAGACCAGAAGAACTGGATAGTGCCTGGCTACCGTACTAAACATTTTGATTAAAGATTCCATAGAAGAATCCTGATCAAAAGAGGGAACATGCAGAACATAATTTCAAATTCTCATGAACTCCAGACTTTCTGGAGCTACAGGGGATGGATGAATCCCTGAAACTACTGCCCTAAGATACTCTTTAAACCTTAAGCTACAAATATCCCCTGAAGTCTTCTTAAAACCAAACAATACTTTAGCTTAACTAGTAAAAAATGTCTGTGTTCTTTTAAGAACTATCTATATGGAATCAAAGTGACAAAAACAACTCAAAAGGCTGGACAGGAACCTTAGGGGGCAGTGACTTTATGTTTACAGGGGAGGAACCACTCAGAAAAGGATCATGAGAATAGTTGCACAACTTGAAGAATGCAATCAATGTCACCAAACTGTACATGTAGAAACTGTTGAATTGATGTATGTTTTGCTGTGTATATTCTCAACAACAAAATAAATAAAATTTAGAAGGAAAAAAAAAGCACAGTACCCCTATGTAGATGACACAGGATTTTAAGAAGGATGAAGAATTGTTCTGTTATTTTTAACTTATTTCAATATACCTGCCTAGACATTAAAGCATAAATCTTTTAAATAACTTATTTTAGATGCATTTCAAATAACACCTGAACTACAAATGAACAAAGTATATTTTAAATCATAAACCAAATTGTTTAAGATCTTGATCATCTTTCTAAGTCAATGGGGACAAAGGAAAAATAAGACAGGTTATCCATAAAACGAGTGTACTTTGAAAATTCTTTCTTTGGCTTTTACATTTATTATTTCGCATCTATTCATTCTGTGGAAAAAAGGGTGATTTCTCTGAAAGAATACCTTAGATGCTGGCTACCCACCAAATGGCACAAAGTGCTGTACTCCTACTGTGAAAATACCGCTGCCAGCTAGAGAGACACGGTCCGCCCACAGCTTCTGAGCAGTTTTCACAGCTGAAATATCACAGTCAGGTTCAGGGTCAGGGCTTTCATTCTGCACCAAATACAGGGTTAAACATCTGTTCAATTAGTTTAAACAACACACACACACACACACACACACACACACACACACACAGATCTAGATCTAGATATATACAGTCCTAGAAAATATTTCCTATAAGGAATTTCAACCTACCATTAAAACACTTATGAGGTTCTTTTCTATTCTCGATTTCTGTTCATCTTTCAGAGTTGACGCTAATATGAAGAAGGAAAAAAAAAAACAACTATAACACAGGCAAAGAAGTTCATGTCTCCATTTAATGCTTGTAAAATATTAAAGAATAAACACCTCCTGTAAGACAGCTAAGCACAATTCCAGAAAATTTACAGATAGCTGGATTTCTAAAAGTTATTCCCAACACCTTATATATTTGCATTTGGATCCTATGTGAAAAAATATTTTATACCACACTGAAAGAAATAAAGCAAAACATTTTGATCTTCATTATCAAAAACCCTCAACCATACTAAGTCCCATGAGGGTGTGGATACCTTCACTCAGCACAGTGACCTGCATATGGTATGGAGTACTATTAAATATTTCAAAGACTGACTTACTCTTCACATTTTAAAAGCTTAAAGATGGTAAATTATTTTACAGATTCAGAGTTTTATGGAAAAAAAGATCAAGTTACCTCTTCCAAGGAGTTCTAGAGAATATGTAATGTAATCCTTTAACTGGGCCATGAGATAGGCACACTTCAGGGCTGTGGTCAATATAGATGTGAGCAGAGTCCACCATCCTTCACTCCGATAATCACACATCACATAATCCAGCAACCTAAAAGAAGACAAAAATGTTAGACATACTGAAGAAGCTTCATGGTAAAGGGCTTGAACAGTTCTTTGAGAAAACAAAATAAAGTGCTTTCCTCATTTTATATAAACATAAGAAAATCTTACTGTGATAGTTTAACAGGTGCTTTCAGATTTATCAAATGTGAGGTTTCCTAAGACCCCGAAAAAAATTGTGCCAGCAGTTGGGACTTGGGGAAAAAAAAAAAAAAAAAATCACAGAAATGGAGTATAGTATAAGTAGAAATAAATATGGAAATGATAAATCCTTCAATATAAATTTCTATTTTAATTTCACTGTAAGGTAATCAGAATACTAATAAAAATAAATACTGAATAAGACTCACTTCAAAGCTTTGGTATAATCCTTTGCATAATAATATTCCTCTCCCATTTGAACCACTATAAAGGGGAAAAAAAATTTCATGTACATAATTTAAAATTATTCAAAGTTGTATGAAATCATGGCATGTTATGAGTACATACTCAGATGGCTTTTCATTCTTGGACACTTATACTTCTTAAATTGTGCAACAGCATTACTCAGAAGAGTTATTATTATTTCCTGTTGAAAACATAAAACTCTTAAGCATTCTAATATTTCTTGAACATTATTAAAAAACAAAAGTTTATGCTGGAAAAAAACTCACAGAGTGAACAACACTTCTCTCCTTCAGCTGAATGGCAAGAACTCCCACCTTCTCTTTTTCAGGGTCAGAAAGATCAAAACCTGTGTAAGATAAGACACACCCCATTTTAGATAGCTCACTGAACACAAATCCTTCACATCAACATTGTATGCGTATACTCTTTGACTGCTTCACTTTAATTCATTTAAGATTCTTAAACATTCTAGAATCTTAAAGATTCTAAGAGACAGCTTTATTAACATGGAAACTTCTCTGAGATCCCTATTCTGAAGAAAACATTACTGAGTTCAGTATTATTTTACCTAGTGGAATCAGCTACCTGAAGAATAATGTTTCAGCATCATCCTCTATATAGAATACAATCCCTGGAGAATAAATAAATAACACTTAAGGTCCAACAGCCATAGATGCTGCTCAAATTAAAATGTTGTTGTTGTTAGATGACACTGAGTACATTTTGACTCACAGCAACCCCATGTGACACAAAAGAACTGCCTTATAGGATTTTCTTAGCTGTAATCTTGATAAACGGAGAAAATGCTTAAGTTGTCAAGGATTTCATTTTACTTGAATCTGCAATCAACATCCATGGAAACAGCAGTCAGGAAATCAAACAACATACTGCATTGGGCAAATCTGCTGCAAAAGACTCTTTGAAGTATTAAAAAGAAAAGATGTCACTTTAAGGACTAAGGTCAACCTAACCCAAGCCATGGTATTTTCAATTGTCCCACATGCATGTGAAAGCTGGACAATGAATAAGGAAAGTGAAGAAGAACTGATGCATTTGAATTATGGTGCTGGCAAAGAATACTGAATATACCACGGACTGCCAGAAGAATGAACAAATCTGTCTTGGAAGAAGTACAGCCAGAACGCTCCTTAGAAGCAAGGACGAGACTTCGTCTCACATACCTAGGACATATTATCAGGAGCGACCAGTCCCTGGAGAAGGACTGAGGGAAGACCCTCAACAAGATGGACAATGGCTACAACAATGGGCTCAAACACAGCAATGATTGTAAGGATGGCGAAGGACGGGGGGTGGTGTTTTGTTTTGTACATGAGTCACTATGAGTCAGAACCAACTCGAAGGCACCTGACAATAACAATCTTTACGGAGGAGTGCTCATGGCACAGCAGTTAAGCACCTGGCTGCTAACTGAAAGGATGGTGGTTTGAAATCACCAGCTGCTCTGCAGGAGAAAGATGTGGCAGTCTGCTTCTGTAAAGATTACAGCCTTGGAAACCCTATGGGGTAGCTCTACTCTGTCCTATAGGATCACTATGAGTCAGAATTGACTCAAAAGCAATAGGTTTTGTTTTGTTTTTAATCTTTACAAAAGCAGATCTCCATGTCTTTCTCCCACGGAGCCAATGGATGGATTTGAACCTCCAACCTTTCAGTCAGCAATTGAGTGATTAACCGTTTGTGCCACCAGGGCTCCTTCAAATTAAAATAAGCATGTATAAAACACAGAAAAAGATGCAGAGAAACTATTTTTGAGATAATAAAATTTAATGATGTTTTAAGATGTCAAATATAAATCATTTATGCTAACTGGAATTAAAATATTTAAATAAACCACCAAAACCCACTGCTGTTGAGTTGATTCTGACTCATAGTGACCCTACAAGACAGAGCAGAACTGCCCCATAGCACTTTCAGGGCTGTAAATCTTTATGGATGCAAACTGCCACATCTTTCTCCTATGGAGCAATTGGTTGCTTTGAACTGCTGACCTTTCAGTTAGCAGCAGAGCACTTTAACCACTGTGCCACGAGGGCTCCAAATGAACCACAGTTGACTTATTTTGTTGTTTAAGACAAGAGGTGTCCAAATACTTTAATCACATCCACATCTTTAATTATAGCGTTATTCTCAGATGTAGTGATAGAAATAAAATTTTCTGAAAAACTAAAGAAACTGCAATCTTAAAAAAAAAGTTCAAAAAGCATGCATTTTTACCTCGTATTTCTTATGCCTAATGTAACCAATGGAAAAATTATGGTTCCTATCTTTATCTTTACTCTTTTAGATTAAAAGAAAAGGAATAGCAAAAAAGTATTTACTTAGTACTCCCTGCCGCCACGATCTTTGTCCATAAAAATCAAGAACGCCTGTTTGTGTTTCTAAGGGATCAGGACTGGGATATATTACAGTAGCCTGCAAATTAGAAACATAGCCTGAAATCAACTCTCCTCCAATCTTTAATTAAATAAAAAGGTTTTCATAAATACAAATATCAAACACACATTCATATATCATAATTGTGAATATTTAACATAAATTTAAAAAAAAACTAAAAATATGTCATTTAATATTTAAATGGTAGTCTCATAAAAATTAAATTGAATAAATCAATCTGATTCTGACAAATAATTTTGTAGTAACTAACTTTACATTTTCTTTTTTACATTGCTATAACAAACCAGCACAAATTTATTATAAATTATGCTTGATATTTACTCCATATGCATAAGTGCTCTTTGCATAAAGAAAAACAGTGTTGTAAGGAGTCTGAAAGAGAAGATATTATTTCCCTTCTTTACTGACTTTTGTATTAAGGCATGAAGTCTGGAGTAGGGATACATTTTTGACACCAGAATTTCTACTGCTTTATTTTTCTTCTTAATAACTTTTTCCTTTGATGTCAAAATATAATACAAGTACAGTTGAGAAATACCTCAAAGCAAAAGGATAAAAATTTAAGTTACCTATAAACCTACTACCACTGCTAACAATGTATGCATTATTCTTCCAGGTTTGTATGTAATTTATTTGTTACCAGTTGGGATAATTTTTCAACTTTTTTTTATTTAAATATATTCTGTACATTTCACCATATCATTAAATATCCTTCTAAAATACTATTTTTTGTGCTGCCTGCTATTCCATATTTTAACAAAGTCCCTATAGTTGTTTATCTTGTTACTTCTATTTTACACTACAATTATTAAGTCTTGGTACTTATCTGCCTTAGGATTCCTGAACATAATATTTTGCGTCGCAAGATATGCACACTTCTAAGGCTTATAAAATTATTATTTGACAGAAATATTATCTTACATTCTCACCAACAATATTTGTTAATGCTTGTTTCCTCATATATTTATAAAACCTAATTTTAATCACCTTTTAAAATACTGTGTTCAAATTACAATATGCCAACCTTTAAAATTAACTACCTGTAATGAAGTTATAAATCAGATACAAGTAACACAGTAGAAAATAATTTAATTATATCATCATTTAAAAAAAAAAAACATGCATTTAAAATACTAATATGCACTCTACCTGTTTTTGGAACAATTTTTTAAAACAGTTCTAGTGAAAATATTCTGCTATCTTCAGACAAAAAAACTACAGATTTTAGATGAAAATAAACTGATAGAACTATATGAACAAAAATGAATTTAGAAATACATACCATGTTATTATTTTAAGGCGCTATGGGGAAACTGATATCTAAATGTAATCATCCAAGAGGAAGGCAAAATGAAATGTCAAGTTTAAGAAACTATGCAATTAACACTATGCCTCCGATAGATTCTTAAGTGTTTTCCATACAGGAAAACCCCGAAGTGAAAGAAGTCAAAAGTTATCCTCTTGGGTGGGTCAGAATAGAGCACGTCCCTCCAGTCTCCTCCTAACTCTGACAGCAGTGATCACAGACACAAAACAGTGATTTTACAGTGTGGCAAATATTAACATGTGGTTCTCAAAGTAATTTTCCTGTCTGAATCATTAACTTACTACCAATCATAAATCACTTCTTCAAAAAAAATTCTGCTTAATTCACATATGAATGGAGTATGCAGGCAAAAACTAAAAATAATCATAATTCCTGAAAATATAAAAGATAAAAATTGATTATACTCAAGAACTTAGGAAAAATTACCACCACCAATCAATCCTGTTTTCTTTGAAGATAATTTAATTTGATAAATGCTAGATAACACAGTAGTCAGTAACTTACTTCATGGTTACAGAGAGTTTTTGTAAGCTGTTTCCGTTCCTGGGCATAGTATGCTGCCTGCTGGTAATAGAAACCAGGATTCTGAGTTTGAATGGCTGTCAGTCCTAATTTAATAGCTTCATCGAATAAATCTCCAAAAGCCTGGAATCTTAAAAAAGAATTAAAAAAAAAAAAAGGAAAGGAAAGGAAATTAATTTTAATTATTCATCCTGGGAACCATAACCTCAGCAGACGATAATAAAATAATGCTATTGATTAACAGTTTAATATTTGTTGCAATTTCACACTAATTTTGGGTTACAGATAAATTCTGCATTTAAGTCAACTCTTCTGTGTTAAGAACTCTTTATCAATACACCATCAAACAAGATCTCAACACAGTGGTCATCTTCCAAATACATCCATGTTACTGGAAACAGTTTCATTTTAGCAGTTTTTAAACATGACTCTCAAATAGTTAAGTTCTATGACAGCAGGAATTTTGTTTTATATACTACTATATTCTTGATACCTAGAAACATGGTGGAAACTCAATAAATATGTGTGAAGTAAAAGAGATGGTACCATGAATTAACAGATTTTTAATAAGGAAATGTGTGAATCAATATCTATTGTTGGAAACACACACTAGATCATTAAAAATCTATTACTGACAAAAAACTTAGTTCGATTTAGAACCAAAGTCCATTCTAACTCCATTCTTCCAAATCCCATGTGTTATTTTTTTAAACATTCTAAAAGTACAACTTAAAACATACTGTTTGGACATCCATGCAGCATGCTCAAAAGATAACTCCGCACTTCCAATTTTTTTCTTACACAAGTCAATGTGTTTTCGGAACTGAGCAATTGCATCCAATGGGGTGTTATGCTGAAAACACAGCCTACAGATCTGTAAAACATAAAATCAATCCCAAAATATAAAAGAAAATCAATGTCAGAAGGCATATTCATTTAAAAATGTGCAAAATTAAAGAATTAAAAAAAAAAAAAAGACTATGGAATTTCCTTCTCTGAAATTCTTTACAATAGAACTGATTCTCTCCATCAGAATAGTTATGCTAAAACCAAAGCTTATGGACCTTTTGATAAATGAAATAAAGCTATTTACTATTTCTACTGAAGTTATTCTATATCTTAAAAAAGCTTTTTTAAAAACACAGGATACAAATAAAAAAGTATTATACATAATAAAGAACGTAGAGATGTTCTAAAATATCTCCAATTATATTCTTCAATTGAGAAAGGACAAATTAAGTCTCAAACTTTACAACTGCCAGAAAGTTGAAGATTTTCTGCAGCACAATGAGAATACAGTAATAACACAGTGAATGAGGAAGAGTGAAGAAGAATTAACGCCTCTGAATCACGGTGTTGGCGAAGAATATTGAACATCCTGTGGACTGCCAGAAGAACCAACCAACCTGTCATGGAAGTAGTAGTCAGAGTGCTCTTTAGAAGTGAGGATGGTGAGACTTTGCCTCACGTACGTTGGACATGTTATCAGGAAGGACCAGTCCCTGGCAAAGGACATCATGCTTGGTAAGGTAGAGGGCCAGCAAAAAATGAGGAAAACCCTCAAGGAGACTGACCGACACAGTAGATACAACACTGGGCTCAAGCACAGCAACAATTGTGAGGATAGCACAGGGCCAGACAGTGTTTTGTTCTGTTGTACATGAGGTCACTGAGTAGAAACTGACTTGATGGTGCTCAAAAACCACCTCTGTATCGAACAAGGATTACAGATAGCTTCAAAAATTTTTTATCTGGGATGCTATTTCAAAAGTAATGATCTATGTGTGTTTGAGGTAAAAGGAAAAACAGAAGGCACAAAGTGTAATTTATTTCCATATGCTTATTAAATTTTTTATTTTTATTTTTAGGTACAAAGGGATATACACCATGAAAAGTAAGTCTCTCAACCATGCCTGTTCTTCACCCATCCAATATACCTTCCTACAGGCAACCAGTTTCTGGCATATGTTTCTTAACATATTGTACACAAAGACAAATATATATGTGTTGTTTATATATAAACTATTTTTTATGTAAATATCTCACTAAATATGCTGCTTTGTACCTTCTTTTTTCACCTAACAATATATTTTGGATATTACTCCCTATCAATATACAAAGCTCCTTCATTCTTAATAATGACACAGTACTCCACTGTTAGGAGTTATAATTTATAACTTACAATAAAGTCACTTACTCCTGGGATGTTTCCTATCTTTTGGTATTACAAGTTGCAAAAAATATCCTTATATATGTGATTTGCAAGTGTTAGCATTTATGTCAGATAAATTTCCTGAAATGGAATTGATAAGTCAAAGGCAACATGCATTTTAAATTTGTACAGTCATTGCAAAATTATTCACCACTCACACCAACCATGAAATAAATGATCTATCTGCCCACGTATCACCAACCCAGTGCCAGACGTCTTTAACAGATGACTGTAGAAATACTAAAAGCAAAGCAAATCACCCACACTTGTCTTCACGCAGCACCTATGTCAACCATATGTTGATGATGTTCTTGTTGCTGTGTGTCCTTAAGTCCATTTTGACTCACAGCGACCCCATGTGATAGAGTAGAACCATCCCATGGGGTTTTCTTGGCTGTAATCTTTACAGAAACAGATCTTAAAATAAAACTCTCAAACAAAAGGTATAACTGTTTCCTCTAAGGTGAACAGCTATACCTTCTCTTCTATGGTTGTTTTGTTACAGCAAAGAAGGCTCACACAGTTCTAACACATTGCATGTTTGCAAATTCAGTTTTCTTCTCACTCCCTCCTGATCCCACTTAAAAACAAACAAACAGAAAGTCTGCCCAAAGGAGTTTTCTAAAAGAAAAAAATGTTCTAAGAAAGAACCCTGGGATCAACGAACTAAAAAGCCAAGCAATATGATTAGGCTGCTAAGAGCCAAGGCCCTTCTTCAGAGAAAGAAGATAAAAGGGAAAGCATAGCCCCATAAAACCAAATGGGACTAATGAGGCACAGCAGTCCAGGGACAAGGGCCAGAAGGGGACAGGAAAGCTGGTGACAGGGAACCCAAGGTTAAGTAAGGATAGTGTTGACGTGTTGTGAGGTTGTTAGCCATTGTCATAGGACAACACGTGTACTAACTGTTAAATGAGAAACTATTTTGTTCTGTAAGCCTTCATCTAAAGTGAGAATAGCAGCACAACTGGAAGAGCATAGTTGATGTCACTGAAACTGTGCATGTAGAAATTTTTGAAATGGTGTATTTTTGGCTATGTGTATTTTCACCAAAAAAAAAAAGGTCGAGAAGGGAGAGGGTTGACATGTTGTGGGGTTGTTAAGCAATGTCATAAAACAATATGTGTACTACTGCTACTGTTTCATGAGAAACTATTTGTTCTGTAAGCCTTCACCTGAAGTACAATTAAAAAAAAAAAAAGGGAAAGCATAATTAATCAAATACCAACTTTTCAGAGCAAGTAATTAATTTTAATTTTGAAATTTTAAAAAGATAATTTAATATTATATACAAATCCCCTGGACTTAGAACTATTACCTTGTAGTTTATAAATCCTGCCATAGTCTTAATTTCCAGAATATTAGTTTCGTGGGCTCTCAATTCATGTACAAGATTATAGGCAGTCCTATAATTCCTGATGTAAACAGGGGAAAGGTGGTTAATGATGATATTAACTCATTTGAAAAGATTCCTAAGAACAAAATTATTACAAATAACAGACAATATTACTCAACACTTCTTAGTACTAAACAGCTCAACAATACATATCAATCTCCGATTTCCTGAAAAAGATGCATTGATTAATAATATGCTTGAGAAGGACTCAATGACTTTTCTCTAAGTACAGAATCATCACACTTGCATGGTTCTGTCATTAACATGTCAGTATCTGATAGAAAACAAGCTGAAAAAGAAAAGTAAATTGGACAATTGTCCAGAATTACAATGAAAAATTCAGTCTAACAAACGAAGTCTTTTCTTAAGTACCATTACTTGCTTCTGTAGTAACTTTTCTAGGGAAAATGCATTAGAACACAAAGAAACTGATATCAAGACAGAGCATAGGTCAACAACTTTCTAACCCCAAGTATCTCTACAAGTCAAGTGGTTATCACCAATCTCAGGTATAGGTTGAAGAGGAAGGAAAAATGTTCTTAGGGCAAATAATGCTAAAAGGAGAGAGGAGCGCAGGAACGAGGACAGCAATGACTGCAATGACAGGGCCAGCAATGACCATCTTACCAGCTGCCCTGCTGACTACCCTCAAAATGGAAAGTAATAGGAAAATCTCAAAACAGACTTTTTCACAGAAAAATTTTCGCTCTTAACTTCCCCAATTAAATATTTTTCTTTACAAAATTATTTTTGAACAGAACTGGTACTGAAGGTTTCTAACTATTAAAACCAAAAAAACCAAAGCCATTGCTATCAAGTAGATTCCGACTCAACAGTGACCCTACAGGACAGAGCACAACTGCCCCGCAGGGTTTCCAAGGCTATAAATCTTTACGGAAGCAGACTGCCACATCTTTCTTCCATGGAGTGGCTAGTGGGTTCAAACTGTTGACGTTCTGGTTAGCAGCTGAGCACTTTAAACACCTTGCCACCTGGGCTCCTAACAGGCATTATAAGCTAAAAAAAATACGTCAAAGTACAAATAAAATTATAGTTGAATTGAATAAATGCACTATAAACTTTCAAAAATACTCAATCTGATTTACATAATGTTTAATATATATTATACTTTGGAGATCAGTCCCCTCAAAAGGATTATACTGAATATACAAATGAGAAGGTCAAGAGGATAGGGAAAATTTTAATACTACATTTCTTCAGTCATGAAGTTTTAAGTAAATTAACCAAACTAGAAAGCTTTATATGACAAACTAGAAAGACACTATGAAATTTACTTTAGATTATAAAAAGGAATTTACAAAAAAAAATCTCAAAATATGATACTCCATTCATCTCTGGACAAACTGAAGAATATTTTAAACACTCAAATCTAATCAACATAAACATATACAAATTAAAGTTTTGTAGAGACTCAGAAGTTGTCATTAATGTTGTTACTGTTAACATAAAGACAAGAAAATTTTAATTTGACAGCCGTTAGAAACTTACTTCAAAGCATTTTGTGTATCTTGTTTTAACTCACTGAAGAAAGCTATTTTGAACTGATGTCTAACAAATAAAAGCTGAAAGAAAAATAGAAGACACTATTATACATATTCCCTTAAAACGATGAAAATTATAGCAATGTTTATTAAAAGGAGATATAACAGTATGAAGGAAAATATTCAAAATAAAAGTAAAAGAATTATTCTAGATATCAAAGATACAGTTAAGGCCATAAAAATCTAGCTTTAAGAACTTTAAAGGCAAAAGTGAAGAGATAACTTTTAACAGAAGTTAAGACAGTTAAAAACTAACTTATCTCTGTACTTTCAACAAGAGTTAAAAGTACAGAGATAAGTTAGTTTTTAAAAGCTTAAAAAAATACTTTAAAATTATAGAAGCCATTTAAAAATATCAAAGCCTTAAAGACATTTAGTAGTCTCCTCAAATATAAACAATGATGAATAATCTACTCTAGAATGCTCATGTTATTTCCTTATTTAGGAAAAAAACATGTACCTGGTGTGTTGTTTTATTCAAAAATTCCTTATGGGATTTCACTCTTCTGATCTCAGTGTAGTAATAAGTCTGTGCATGTTCATAAAAGGCATTTTCTAATCTGTTAAAAAAAAAAAAAAAAGCTAACATTTGAATGCTAAAGTTATTTTAAACCAAACTGTTGCCAAGAATCACATTTGAGACGCCTGAAAGTAAAATCCTGACAGAGAAAATATCTATTTTAACTCACGACTAAGATAAAAAGTGAAGCAAAATATAAACTGAATTCCTAGGTAAAATGTCTAAAAGCCATTTAAAATTTTACAATTTACAATTTCACAATCTAAATATAACTGACAAAAATAACTTTTTCTAGTCAATGTAATCCATCACATAAATTAAAAAAAAGACAAAAACCACATGATCTTATCAATTGATACAGAAAAAGCATTTGACAAAGTCCAACACCCATTCATGATAAAAACTCTCAGCAAAATAGGAATAGAAGGGAAATTCCTCCACATAATAAAGGGCATTTATACAAAGCCAATAGCCAATATCATCCTAAATGGAGTCTGAAAGCATTCCCCTTGAGAACGGCATCCAGACAAGGATGACCTTTATCAACACTCTTATTCAACACTGTGCTGGAGGCCCTAGCCAGAGCAATAAGGCAAGAAAAGAAACAAAGGGCATCCAAATTGGTAGGGAAGAAGTAAAAGTATCCCTATTCACAGATGATATGATCTTATATACAGAAAACCCCAAAGAATCTACAAGAACACTACTGGGACTAATATAAGATTTCCACAAAGTATCGGGATACAAGATAAACATACAAATAATCAGTTGGATTCCTCTACACCAACAAAGAGAACTTCAAAAAGGAACTCACCGATCAATACCATTTACAACAGCCCCAAAGAAAATCAAATACTTAGGTATAAACCTAACCAGAAATGTAAAAGACCTATACAAAGAAAACTACAAAATACTACTGCAAGAAACCAAAAGAGATCTATATAAGTGGAAAAACATGCCATGCTCACGGACAGGAAGACCCAACACCGTGAAAATGTCAATCCTACCCAAAGCGTTCTACAGATACAATGCAATCTCAATACAAATTTCAATGGTACTTTTTAATGAGATGGAGAAACCACCAACTTCATATGGAAAAGGAAGAGGCCCCAGATAAGCAAAGCATTACTGAAGAAGAACAACAAAATGGGAGGCCTCACACTACCTGATTTTAGAACCTACTATACCACCACAGTAGTCAAAACGGCCTGGTACTGGTACAACAACAGATACACAGACCAATGGAACAAAATTGAGAACCCAGACATAAATTCATTCACCCATGAGCAGCTGGGAAACCCTGGTAAGTAGTGGTTGAGAGTTTGGTTGCTAACCAAAAGGCTGGCAGTTCAAATCCACCAGGCACTCCTTGGAAACCCTATGGGGTAGCTCTACTCTATCCTGTAGGGTCCCCGCGAGTCAGAATCAACTAAACAGCAATAGGTTTGGTTAGGTTTATACCTCTGTGTGTATTTGAGAGTGTGCGCGCGTGTGTGTGTTGTCTGGTTCAAAACAAGACTAGGTTCCTGCCGTAATGGAAGAACAAACTTATTTGTTAAGACTGAAAACGTCCATGTTAAATACCACTAATCACTGCAAGTGTAAATCCTGTGATACAGTTTGTAAGTCCTATAGGATTTCAGAAAGCAAACGGATAGACGTGGCCTGGGAAGGCTTTAAGGAAGAGGAAGAATTGTAAATAAGCTATGAAGGGGTTAGATAATCGGAAAGGAATTACTAGTTATTTGGGGGGCAGAGAGAATATCGTGAAAAAGCATGAACATTTAAAATACTCAGCTAGTTTAAATCACTACATGGACTGAATCCAACAGGTTGGATTTCCTATTATAGAACAAAGAAATTCAAGGCCAGCTTCCCCAAAAGAGCATTCGTAATTGTTTGATGTTACCTTTAAGGTATAATTTAGGAATAGCTGCTAAAAGAGGCTGGTGGATTAGAAATGCTGACCTTTTTGGTTAGCAGCTGTAGCTCTTAACCACCAGGGCTCCACACAAAGATATATATGTACTACATTCATTATCTGAGCTGTCTCAAAATGAAATTTACCTTATTCGATATTTAGATTAAAAATTTGATTACAAGGAGCTCTCTAGCTATTTACTGTGGCATTCACTCTTAGCAAAATTCATAAAGATTATCTAAAGTCCATTTTCTGCTAACAGTGTACCAGCACATCAATTAGACATACTTACTTTTAGATTGTAGAAGCATGTACCCTAGCCAGATGAACTCTGAAAAGCTATAACTAACTCCAGCAAACAGAGCTACTAGTGTTCCGAAGAACAACATTCAAGTTTCTATACTATAAAAAACCCAAACCCACTGCTGTCAAGTTGGTTCCAACTTATAGTGACCCTATAGATGCAGATTTAAGTAAAGGGGCTTTCCTGGATGTTGGAAACTATGTAAGAGGCAAAACTCACATAATTTTGGTGGGCAAAGGAAAGAACTACTGTGTACTGAAAACGAAATTATTGTTGAAGGTAGACTCTGGGACAAAGGCAGAAAATAAAGGACAAATAGCAGAAAAGTAGCAAATAAATCCTGCTACTTATGTCCTCTTTTTTTCCCCTACAGCCCTTAAGTAAAAGGGGAGGAAGAGTAAAATACTACACTTCAATATTGCCCCACCAATCAAAAATGCTTACAGCAGCCCAATTTTTACTTCTTGTAAAGACAAATAAATCAGAGACCCACAATTTAACTGCATGGATCTGTACACTGGTGTATGTTGGTTTATATTTTTAATAAGTAAGTTCAGACCCACTGAAACTCCTTGTTTCAGTTTTAAACTAAGTATTCCCAAGTTTTTCAAGCGTGCTGCTGCCGCTGATCACAGCAACGACAGCAAACACGTATACAGATCACACATTTAAACTGGTTTCAGAAAAAAAAATCCTAACGATGAAACATTTCCAGTCATTGTCAAAATGTTCTGACTATAGCACAACTTTCATTTGAAAAGCAGTTGCTTTCTTATTCATTATTAAAATGTCACCTTTGTTTTGAAAGGCAAAGTTAAGTGTTGTAACTGCTAGTTAGCATGCCACTGTCAGCCTACCGCCAAAAAAAGAAAAGGTCTGAAAATTCGGAAGACATCCTTTTGTAAAATGCTTACCTCATCATTAAGTTTGACAGCTCTTAAGCATTTTGCCTTAAGATGATTAGTGAGCCTCTGCAGTGGAAAGGTTTTCATGATCACTCCCCAATGCATTACAAATGCTTTATAAACATTCTATCACTTCAACATTAAAAAAAAAAAATTACCCAAATCACTGACACCTTGTAGCACATATACTTAATACATCCAAATGCTCTGACAGCACATGATGAGATGTCGTTAGGAACTCCACTGCTTCCCTCTCAGATAGCAAACTGGAAGGGAGCTTTTGTAACAGCAACTTTACTCTCTCAATTAAGATAAAGCATAAATACTAAGAAAGGTTCTAATAATGTCTTCCTCATCTCCAATAGACTATCATACGCACCCCTGGGCTCACATCCACATTTTGGAGGCCACAGGTCCAGAGCACTTGCTGTTGACATTAGTCATTCTGACACTGTGTTCCTTATTTAAATGTTTCATTATCCCCAACAAGATCGTAAATGGTTAAGGGAAGAAACCACATCTTCTATTTCTCTTGGGTCCATGACAGTACTAAATTTGAAAGCTGAGGACAGCAGGATCACTTATAGTTAAGGGGGACTTCTCAACCTTTGCATTACTGACATTTTGGACCAGGTAATTCTTTGATGTGCAGTGCTGTCCTGCACGCTGCAGCATCCCTGGCCTCCACCCACTAGATGCCAGTATAGCAACCACCTCCGTAGGCGCAATCACAGGTGTTTCCTGGAGGACAAAAATCACTCCCAGTTGAGAATCACTGGGTCAAGGCATAGCACAGAAGGCACTCACTGGCTTCATAAAGAAAGCTTCATGTAAACTAAACCTTAGAAGACAAGGAAGAAAACGGGAGCTGGAAGGTAAGAGCTAGTATGAAAGCAAGACAAAAATGACAAGAAATAGCATTGTGAATAAGGAAGTGCTAGAGTGCAAAGTACAAAGATGAACTGTAAAAAGCTTGGAGAAGTAGTCAATGGCCAGGTGTGTTCTATGAAATGGACTGGGATGAGCCTTGGTGGAAAGAAGAGCAGCCTCACTGTGCTACTAATTAACTATATATTGCCACCCTATTCTGCATACTCCCTATTGGTCATACACTCACGCTTAAAAAACAAAACTCATTATCCTGTTCCTCTGCATCATGGGGAATCAGCTCAATTTTATTCTCAGCACCACTGATATGATTTTCGGCAGTGTCAATTCTACTGATTACTGCTTCCAATGTAGAATTTTACTTTGCTAAATGCATTTAAGTTTTCTTGCAGTTCATCTTTTCATCTGACCCTGTTGCCTTTTCATGCTCTCTCCCTCTGAATTTATGCTTCTCTTTCTAGGAAGACATATCATTTATATGCCAATGAGAATACGAAATAACTTCCTGTAGCAGATCATTTTCAGAGCTTTGCTTCTGAGAAAGAGATAAGAACAAATGCAAGAGAAGCAATAGTCAAAAATAAACTAAAGTGTTTTCACGTTTAAGGAGGCTAACTAATGCAAAATGAAAGAGTAAATCATTTTATAGTAAAAAATCAATGAGAATATTCATATCTAAACATATCCTAGCAAAAAATCTAATACTATAAATTATAAAATCCTATAAGCATTCACACAGAAAAATATTAGATTAACAGAACACTACAAAAATTGGACTAACTGGCTTAAAACATCCCTGTAACACTAAATGCTAGAAAACAATGGATAATGGTCACATAATTTGTAAGATAATCTTGTGTCCCCACGTAATTTTTCTTTGCTATGTTAAGGTTTTATAGATACTTAAAATTTGGTGAGGCTCAGACCCTTCTTAGAAAATTATTTAAACATACACATCAACATATCAATATGCAAAAGAGACTAGAAATGGAGACACTGTCATATAAAAGAATAAATACATCATAAAAAAATACATAACTGAAAAGCATAATAGAATAACATGTAGCCATCAAAAAAAATTAAAGTTGACCTAGATACACATATGGAAAGCTGTCAATGCGGTAACGTTAAGTAGCAGATCAGAATGTAGTATGTGATTACATTTATTTTTGTGTGATTTTGTGTGTGTACATCTGTTATAAAGATATATATTTGTTCCAATATAAAAAAATTATTTTGGAAGGAAACTTAAGGAACTGTTGATAGAGATTACCTCAAACAATTGGAGAGTATTTAAGAGTTGCTGAAGGAGACTTACTTTTCACTGTATATCCTCTGAACCATTTGAATTTTTTTCCATTAACATTAAATAAATGGGTCTAAGCTACCCATTTCTCAACGCCTAATGAACACTTTCAACAAAAATTTTAAAACTTTTAATTACCTTATAATATAGCCCACCAGGTGGTCAGTGTGGGGCAGTACAAACAAAGACTTTCCCGAGAGTTCACAAGCATTACATAAAGCTGCAGCCCTTTCAGATGCAATGACATCTTCTCCTGTTGGTAAGCCCCATAAAGATAAAGGGGAAAATAAAAATTAATGTGTTTTTGTAAATGAATATTTCCTCAAATCCAAACAATGTAATTAATAAAAACCCAAACCACTTTTCACCATGCCAACAAGACTCTTAGGCAATTCCTTGAAGGAGAGGGGTCAAGTAGAACCATTTTGTGGTTCCAGAAGTATGTTCTAGGGGCTTTATTCTGTACTTGAGTCCTTGACAGGTCTATGGGGTTAAAAATAAAAGTTACACGGTACATGCCTGTTAGAAATACCCTGTGGAACTTTCTACTGTGCCAGGATAGTTAGGCCAAGTAATGCTAGCAGATATACCACAGAACTATTTAAAAAAACGTAACTTAAAAATAGAAGCAACAATTCATAAAAGGGATTTCCAAAACCATTTAGGATGCTACAAGTTTCAACATGGAAACAAAAAATATTTTGGCCTATGAAAGTCTGGAAAAGTAAAACAAATGGCATTTGAAACTAAGACATTCGGCTCCCAGAGAAAATTATAAATCCTATAGCATTTTTCGGAGCCCTGGTGGTAAAGTGGTTAAGAGCTCGACTGCTAACGAAAAAGCTGACAGTTCAAATCCACCAGCCTCTCCCTGGAAATCCTATGAGGGAGTTCTACTCTGTCTCACAGGGTGACTATGAGTCTCGACTGACTTGATGGCAACAAGTTTGGTTTTTCAAGTTACAGTTATTTTTCAACTCATTAAAAAAATATATTATGTAAGGAGTACAATTTTAAATAGGTCTCAGATAAGTAAATAACACTCTTTTTTAAAAACCAAGGGAATAACTATTTTATCGATTGATATATGTCCACATGGGGAGGTAAATGGAAGTGCCTTAAGAGGATTTGTACTCTTTATCATTTAGAAATTTTTTTTAAAAAGCATCTATTATTGGTACTTTTAAAAGGTGACACCCCATCAGCCTCATAAATGAATGTATATAAGATTTAAACATTAAAAACTATACCTCTTGGGAATAAGAATTAGAGGTATAAGGCAATTAATTACGTAATTAACCTTCTGATACCTGGGGGTAAAGGGGTTTTCTTCTGAATCAGAACCACTGCAACTTTTGTGTTTCTCCCTTGTAAACTCTGCCTGCAATGAAAACAACCAAAAAAAATTTTTAACAACCAAAAACAAAACAAAAAAGTATTCAAGCAGCACTTTTCATAATAGCCAAAAGGTGGAAATAACTGAAATGTCCATCAACACATGAATGGATAAACAAATAGACATAAAATGGACTTATTACTCAGTCATAAAGAGAAATGAAGTCCTGATGCCTATCACAAGAGATGAACCTTGAAAACATGCTGAGCGAAATAAGTCCGTAGCAAAAAGACAAATACTGTATGCTCTCACTTATATGAAATAAGCAAATACACAGAAACCAAAAATTATTAGTGCTTACCAGGAATAGGAAGGAGGAAATTTTTGCTTAAGGGGGCAGTGGGTTTATGCTAATGTTGGTGGAATAATCTGGAAAAGGATGGTTGCACAACTAAGAGTGTAATGAATGTCACTTAATTATACATGTAGAAATTGCTGAATTGGCATATGATTTGCTGTGTATATTTTCACCACAATAAAAAAAATGCATTCAAGATTTTACAATCAAAAGCATTTTATATGACTATGCTACTAAAGTACAGTAAGCTACTAAATCTCCAAAAAAATATAATAAATGAGAAAAAAAAGCATTTGGAAATCCAGACCAACTTGTCTTCCAAATTTCTTCACATACCCTAGTTTTACATACAGTGAATATTTATGCTACCTACCTATTAGGAATTGAATAAGTTTTACTGGAGGTCAGCAATCTCATAAGTGACCACTGCCGTCTAAAAAGCACTTGAGTAAATGTTAGTAAATAACAGATATATGCAAACTCCCATAGTCAGCCTGAAAAATGGAAATGATCATACCTGACTATTTCCACTCTGGTAGCACATTCAGACTGCTTTTCTTTCCACTGAGGCTCATCCCAGTCCAGTTCATAGAATACAACCACAAGGGCCGGTACCAGGTTCAGGTGTTTATTCATCCAGCCAGTCTTTAAGATTCCTTTAGGAATGTACCATTCATACGAAGTTCTCTGCAAACATTGGCAAAAGTTGAAAAGAGTTATTTGATACTAATAGCAGCAGAAACCACCTATTACTGGGTGTTAGGTGGCACATTACATGCATTTATCTTGCTAAATACACATACAAGCCCTTTTTAAGATGAAGAAATTCAGGTTTAGAGAGATTAAACAAGAACTAGCAAGTGGTGGAGGTGGAATCTCCACCCTAGAGCCCATTTAAAGAAAAATGATCAAAGCCAAAAAGTTTTTAATGACTTCAAATCTCAAATACTGGGTAGTATCCATCCCTCTTCCAAGTAAATTACATTTATATTACTCATCCTTTCAGTTTCTATTTTTGTAAAAGCTTTCAAATAAAATATTATTCAAAATCCAATATGCCTTCATTTGTTTCAAAAACATACGATTATGACACTATTTCATCTTTCTTGTGGATGAAGTACAAAAATGCAGGACAACTCTTCAATACAGAAGCATATCAGCAGTCACTTGGGTGTCAGCACTACGTGCCACGTAGTAGGAAGAGGAGGCAGTAGATGTGCATCCTGGCCTGAAAAACCAGCTGAACTCTCAAATTACTTCAATCACCAGTACTGACTCAGACCACTCCAACTCATGCTGACTCCATGTCTACTTCAGATAAGGGAAGACAAGGACAGTAAGGAAGACTGACAAAAAATAACCTGGGGACTTAGGAAAGAACAGGGAGTAGGCAAAACATCTAAAACTGGGGAAAAAAGGGAGGAGTAAAAGGGGCTAGCTGTGCTGGGTCATTGGCCTTCCTTGACACAAACACCACATTAAAAAATGTGTAAGGGCAAGGGGTGCCATTACTCGCATAACTTCAGATATAGCACAGTTTCTGGGGCTGGGTATATGAAACTGGGTCTCCAAAGTATGGTTCTCAAATGCATAAATGACTCAGCTGGGGATCAAACAGAAAAAGGAAGAAAATCTAGGCTCATAGGGTAGAAAGCTTTATCAAGTATTCCACGGGGGTTAAAAAAATGACTATTATTACACATATACATAGTGCATACGTGTATATCACCTTGATAAACTAAGATTTCTTTAGCACAGACAATAGAAACAAAAAAGAAAAATGTGTACTTATACATATATATACACATGGATACACCCACATGTACAGATGTATGCGATCATATCATTACCTTGGGTCTACATTTGGGATATTCATGGTCACCTGGGAGCACCTTGAAAGAAATTGGTACTCGATCAGCTCTCCGATTGGCACAGAAAGCATCCCAAACAGCTCGATGAACAGCATTATAAACTACATCCAGGCCCGTTAGAGTAACAAAAGCCATAGGCCGACAACATAATTCCACAGGGAAGTCCCACTGCGTGGGGCTCATGCTCAAGGCTTCACAAAAAACCTGAAATACAATGTTTACACATTCACAATCAATTTTTAAAAACCCACATGTATGTCTAATATATAAAACTCCACCGTTTAAAAGACACTACCAAAAAAGAAAAAAGGTTGAGTGTCTGCAAATAGTCAAGTAAATACAAACGAACAAAAGGGAAGACTTTAATCGAACCTATTAAAGTTTAATAAACTGCATTAAATTAAAAAAAAATTTTTTTAAATTGCAGTCAACTCAGGATTTTCACTAACATCTCAAAATGTTCATACAACTTTGGGATGAGCAGACCAAGAAAGCAGGAAGGTGATTAAATTCAAATTGGTTCTATATGACATAGCTACAGACTAAAAGAAAAATTATTGACCGCTTATTTAAAAGAATACAACTTCTTCTAATTTCTATAATTGCTAGCATCTAGTTTCTGAATGCCTAAAACATTATTTAAGAAATATTAAAATAAAATATACTGATTATCTAAATAATAGTTACGTTTTCTCATTTCTCTACAATTAATACAAAATGTACTATTCAAAGGAAAACATACAAGCGAAAAACTAATTAAAAAATGGAAAATTCCTAAAAGGACATACTTCTATTGTGTCCTTTAGCTGAGAATCAATCTATAATAAATCTAAGCATGCACTCACCTTAGAAAAGCAATTATATAAAACGTCTTCATTCTAAACAAATTACTATATTTTAAAAATAATTTCTCACTTACAAAAATATGGATCATGAGGTTCTTTTAAAAGGCTATCTCCTCTAGAATATTATACAGAACTTAAATGCAATATATGTGAAAAGTCAGGAGAACTTATACCACAACTCGGTACTCAAAACATGGAATATTTTTAATTTAAAGGTTAATTTAGGAAAGACTTCTCATGTTCAAGTACCGAAGAAACCATGAGTACCTTTACATAAATGATATGGAAAGCTTACCAGAAATGATAAATGTCTACAACAGAAAGGCATTTTAGAATTGTATAAACAATTAATTTTAGAATGAGATTAAGCTATCACAGCAAAAGGACTACGAATTTTAAAGAAATAAATATTCCAATTCTAGGGAATTGTTAGAGGAAAACAAAAAGAGGTTGTCAAAACACAACTTGGGAACCTTTGCTTGATACCAAGGAGTCGACTAGAGCCCAAAGGCTCAAAAAACAGCTATGGTCTTTGAATACAGAGTTAAATTAAGGGAAACTAGAAATGACGTACAAAGCACAGTGTTATCCAAGAGAAAGATAATTTGAGCCACGTACATAATTTTAAATTTCTAGAAGCTATGATAAAAAGATTAAAAAAAGGTAAAATTAATTTTAATTATGTATTTTATTTAACCCTGTATGTCCAAAATATTATCATTTCAACTTTAACATGTTACTAGTGAGATTTTTTTTTTTTTTTTTTTGTACTAGGTCTTCAAAATTCAGTGTGTATTTTACACTCACAGCACATCTCAATTCGGACTTGCCTTATTTCAAAAGCTCAACAGCCACATGTAGTTACTGGCTACAGTACTGGACAGTGCAGCTTTAAATTATGGTAAATCTCTCCCAAAGTTAGTAAAATTGTATCAGAAGTTCTTCTTACGTCCTATCTTAAAAGCTTTGACAGTGGGAGTGGCCTTGCCTATTCTGCAGCAAAGAGACGGGAATGGGAAGGGGAACACCGGCGAAGGACAGGCGCAGAGGTTGAATGGATCTCGATGGCAGTCTGTGGAGGAGAATTTCCTGATCTTCTGGAAGCAACTCTGGGGAGCAAGTGCCCAAACTACGACCAAGCAGGACGTGCAGATGGAGCAAATGAGCACTGGAGACGGGAGGTCATTAATGCAAGGGAAGTAATCTAGCAGCTGGCGTGGAAGATACTAAGACTCTTGGAAAGGATGATCATCCATTTACAGGACACACTCTTAAAAAAAAAAAAAAAAGGTACCCTAATCAAAGTAGCAAGTAAAAAAATAACGTGGTCATTATTTTTTAATTAACTGCTAGTTCAGGGCGTAGGAACAAGGCTGGCAAGAACGGGATTCAGAGATATCCCACCGCAAATCAACCAAAACAGGGAGGGCAGTTTAGGGCCGGGATGGTGAAAAGATGCCGAGACTATGGAGAAATAACACGGTCGCAGTATTCTGCCCTGAAAGCGCCAATGAGGAAAGGCAAAGAACCCTGCAACGATAAAAAAGGACACCATCTTCCTCCTTCCCTCCCGCCTTAAACTTGGGAGGCCCCCGAAATAGCTGCATCCTTTCTTTGGGAGCTGAAAGAGAAATGCTCGCATTGCACCCGTGGGCGCCGGAGGAAAACGCAGGCCCCCAAACCAGGACTGTTAAAAACTAGCTCTCTCCCTCGCGGCCTCGCCTGGCCCGGCAGCTTCTCCAGGCCCAGACTCACTCAGGACGCACGCCCCGGGCTCGCTGCAGCGTGACCGGTCGCCACCAACCAGGAGAAGACGAGGGAAGTCAGGCAACAGTGTCCCAGAACCGCGCCGGTCTCTACCGCTGCGTACCCAGATTCTGCTCCACTTCCCCATTCCCACCTCCGCTGGCACCGGAAGCACTTTCCGGACTTGAGTGACAGCGCTCTATACCAATCGTTGTCTCCGAACTTTACGCAGCTCCACAAAGCGTAGGTAGGACGTTCTGTTTCCTAGTGGAGAAGGATTTGGGGCGGGGAGAGAAGGAACCAATAGGAGAAGCGAGGAGACGGATTCGCTGCCGTTACCGCCCCGCTGCCTCCCCCAGACACTTGGACGCCCTTTCTGCGGCGACTCCGGCTCCCCGCCCACAGGCACCTGCCCGCTGCTTGGCTTTGCCTGGGGGCCGGGGGCGCGCGTGACTTCTGTCTGCGGGTGTGGAGGGTGTGTCCGCAGCCGAGGCTGCGAAGGGGGACGTCAGGGTCTCGGGGCTACTGCCCGTGCTTTCTCTTAGTCGTCGCAAACGCTGTCCGTCTGGGAGACGCCCCGTGGCCAGCGTGATGAGTGCCAACGAGGACCAGGAGGTGAGTCCCCCGGGCTGGACACCCATTTTCCCTCGTGTCCGCGGCGCCCCGGCCCCGGGGGAGGGCAGCTGACCCTCCCGAGGCACTGGCGAGACCCGGCGTCCGGACAGGTGTCTGCGCACGTGCCCTACGCCCGTACACCGGCGGAGCCTGGCTGTGCTGGCCTGCGAGGAGAGGCCAAGCATGTCTGAATCGGTAGGCGTCCGCTTCTGCCGCCCCTCACCACCCCCTACCCCCATTTTTCATTTTTGCAAACCCCTGAGTCGCTTCAGGTCCTTAATAACAAGGGTAAGTGTCCTTGGTACACGTCCCGCGTACACTTGGTTCATCTTAAATCCTATGTGTACCTAGCGGTTGTGTACTGAGTTACGTGGATTTGGAACCCGATCACCTTTAAATTTTGAAGTCTTTTGGCTGGTAGAGAAAGCCAAAACCGTTGCCATCGGATCGATTCCGACTGATTGCGACCTTATAGGACAGAGTAGAACTGCCCCATAGGATTTCCCGGGAGCAGTTGGTGGATTCGAACTGCCGACCTTTTGGTTAGCAGCAGACCTCTCAACCACTGCGCCACCAGGACTGGTAGAGAGAGTACCCTTACGTTTCTGGTGGAGGAAAATAATGACCCTGGTGCCTCTGGTTTCTGTTCATATTGTTTGGTGGAAATAATTTATCCATCTGATAGTTGTCCATTGGACCAGAAGTCTATTTTGAGCACACGTATACCCCCTGAATTGTATGGTTTGTGCTGTTATTTTCCTGTGAAATGCCACTTTGAAATCAAATCAAGTAAGAGTTGCAGGGTATGCTACAGGTCATTTGTAGGAGTACCTACTAATTTTGTAACTGTACAGGTGAGGAAAAGTGACTACAGAGGCAAAAGTGACTTGCCCCATGGCTGCACAGTGAGTATACGGTAGAATCAGGACTAGAACTCCGGTCTCCTAAGTAAGTGGTAGTTGTTCACCGTTCATTGAGAATATATTGCTTGAAGGTTAGTACTTTTACATGATAGACTTAATAAAATCTCTGGATCGGAAGTTAGTTTTAAAGGACCCAAAGTCCAACAAGCTAGTTGATATCTGAGTCCCTTCTAAAATGTTTTTCTTTTTTTTAAATTCTTACCAGGTGAGTTTCTTAGCCAACGCTAGCAGTTCTGGCTCCCTGGGAATCCTAGGGCATATAGAGTGATGTTTCCCAAAGTATATAACCTGTGGGCCCTGAATTAGATCCACTTGGGTGGTTATTAGAAAAACATATCTGCACTGCACTCCAAACCCACTGAATCAAAATTTCTGTAGTGGGGCCCAGAGATTTCCATTTTCACAAGAAAATTTCATTCCACATGAGCATCAGATCATTGAAGACAACTTCCCTACTCAGTTTTCCATACCTCTCCTTAGGCTAAATAGTTCTTTTTAGCTTTTCTTCTTAGATGCATTGTTTTTAGTTTCACTGTTTTGGGATTGTGTCTGTGGATAGGTTCTAAGTTTATTTATATCCTGTTTCAAAACTGGCATCACACTGTGTCCGGCAGTTAGATTTACCGTTTAAGTGTTTTATACACACGCTGCTGCAATGTACTAGGTCTTTCGTCCTCTACTTGTATGTTTAGGTATCTGAATACGATTTCTTCCACTTCACCTGTTTAAATTTCATCTTGTTAGATGTTTATCAAGCACCTTTTGGATTTTTATTCTGCCACCACCAGTGTGATTCATTATCCCATCAAATTGTCATCCACAAATTGATAAGCTTACCTTCAATTTTTTTTCCTGTCCAAATTGTTAATTAAAAGGTAGAAAGGATTAAGGATAGAAGGACTAGCCCTACCTTTTGGATTTGTTACAATCTACTATTCTTGAATGCAGTTTGAATTCCTTTTTTTACTTCTGCAGAGGTAGCAAGAGAAGCCCCATGGAGCCTTGCTGAAATCCAGACAGACAGTTTTGTACTTTTTCCTAATGTATCAGTCAAGTTACCCTTTCTAAGAAGGGCATGGATTGTTTAGATATGTTTTATTTTCTATGCTTAGGGAACCTTGTTTTCCAAGGTCTTAGGGATTACTCCTTACTCTCCCAGGTGCTAACAAACCATTTCTTTAATAATCCATTCTAAACTTTGTTCATGTGGGTGAAGCTCATCCATCTGTAATTTGTAGAATTTATGACATACATCTTTTTGAAAACTAAGGTATTTGTTCAAGCATAGTCTTCCTTTGCTTCTTTTCTCAGTGATTCTTCAGAGATCACAAGCAGTGATTGAGACTTCTCATTTGTAAGCCCAGAAAGTTCTAAGAAATACTTCCAGGCAAGGATTACTAGTTACGTTTTCTCTTGCAATCCTTTCTCCCATCTTGGGTTCACCCTTGTCAACCTCTTTCTATCATTTATTAAAGTTCTCTTTATTATCCTTAAGTGTTTTTTCAAGATTCGATCATTCTGTGAGAAGGATTTCAAATGTTCCCTCACAATAATGGGAAATTAAATTAGCTAAGTTTGACATAGTTGACTGGGCTTGAATCAGAAACTGAAGACCCTTAATTTATGATCTGTGTATACTACTAAACCAAATTCATTTGATTCATTTCTTTCAGATGGAACTAGAAGCATTACGTTCTATTTACGAAGGAGATGAAAGTTTCCGAGAATTAAGTCCAGTTTCATTTCAATACAGGGTAAGACATGGCATGCATAGGAGTAACTACTACTTTGCTAGAAAAAAACCAAAGGTTGCTAAAAATGGTGATTTTGCTTGTTAAATCTAGTGGGTTATTTTAAACTTATGTGTTTGGATTTTCAGACACATTTAAATGAAAACCCATCACCCTGACATCAATTATTTTTAACTTTTAAAAGGTTAGTTCAGAAACTTAAAAATAAAAAGATAAACTTGTTTTTATTTTAACAGAATTATAAAATGTTAGAAATGGAAGAAACATGGTTTTATCTTCTTAAAGATAACTTCTCTCAGTCATAGCTTTCTGTGTAATGTGGTCCCAAGTTCCCACAGCTCATATTGACATATATTAGGATTAAAATACAGTTTGGGTATTCTAACTCCATTATTCTTTTTACTACCCTATGATATGCTCAAGAAAAGTTGATATTTTCTTCATTCTGTATTCAAAATTTAAGAAGAAATATGTGAAATACAGATTTTTCTTAAAAATGGAATTGCTAATCAATTTGTCTTGAACATACAACAGTACGAGTATTTTATAAGTAAATTACGTAAATCATTTATCCAAATGATTATAAGTAGTGGTGGAATGGGGAAGTTTTTTGGTAAAAGACTGGTTATCGTTAACATCACCATTTAAAATAAATTGTATAACAAATGATTCTTTGCACGATTATTATAAACTGTCACAATAAATAAATTTACAATTATTTTCTTTGGATACTCTTCTCTCTACTCACCTCTTCTCAATTCCTCTTGAACTCAATAATCCTTATACTATCCCCGTGGATATAACAATGAAGGGAATTCTAATGACCCAAGTTAAAGATGGGAGTTAACGCTAAGGTCCTTCTATTTGAAAGCAACTGCCTCAGACTTTCCCAATGACTGCCACCCTTCCCTTAGCTGATGGGAAGTTGAGAATTCTGCCATACGTACCTTCCTGAATGTCTACGTTAACAATAGAGCACAGTATACAGAATGCTCTAGCACACGTGTGTGTCCTATAGGATGGACACTCTGATGTGACCCTCGGGTGGATTTAAGAGGACTGAACTTAGGAGACAGTGTGTTGAGAGCCACAGGGCCTAGGGTACAGTTCTGACTATGTCCTAGGCAGACCCCTCATTTCTTGTGCAGAATAGCTAGCCTTCTAAATGATTTCCCCGTATTCAGTTCTTTCTTCAGCTTCCCCCTACACTCCACCATTGGTCATCCTATAGACTGCTGGCCAATTCTGTAAAACACATAAGTAGTCATCTCATTCCCCTGTTTGAAAAGGTTTCTCCATGGTTTCCTCTTGTCTATAGAATGAGGGCTAGATTCCTTAGCTTGACACTCAAGGCCCTTCTCTTTGATTCTAACTGCCTCTCCAAACTTTCCCAACCACTGCCACCTGTTAGTCACAGCAGATTATTTCTCTTATTTTTTATTACACTGTGTGTCTTTGGATACATTGTTCATTCTTTCTCTCACTTTCATCCATCATTCATCCTACTTCTCCTTTAAGGCCTAACTCATTTCTCCCCTGTGATGTATTTAGGCCATATCTCCTCTCTCTAGGGAATCCCTGGTTGCTCAGTGGTTAAAGCACTCGGCTGCTAACCAGATGATCAGTAGTTCGAACTAGCTGCTCCATGGGAGAAAGATGTGGCAGTTTGCCCTACGGGACAGTTCTGCTCTGTCCTGTAGGGTCACTATGAGTTGGAATTGACACCATAGCAGCAGGTTCTCCTCTCTCTCTAAATCATTCACCATTTCTTCATACTTTGTTCTGTCACTTTTGAACAATCAATCATGCTGCGTTTTAGTGAGTCCTCTAAATGTCTGGCTCCCTGGAGGGCAAGAACCGTCTTGTCTATCCCAGGGCCTAGCACAGTGGGGCACACGTGGCAGTTTGTTCCTAGGTGTACCTTGAGTAATGACTTAGTGATTACATAAAGCAAGGGAGTGGACTATTTTTGTCATAAATCCATTTAAAAAAAAAAAAGGCCTGGGGACTGTTAAAAAGAGAATAAAGGGGCACGACAGCCAAATGGAATCCATAATCCTTCATTGGATTGTAATTGGAGTTCTATTAAAGGATACTTTAGATATGATTGGGGGGCTTTTAACGTGGATTGTATATTAGATAATGTTTTTGTATCAATGTTGAATTTCTTGGGTGAGATAATGGTAGTGTGCTTATAAAGGAGAATGTCCTTATTAGGAGATACTTAACCCCCAAATGTTTGAGCACGTATCATGATGTCTGCAATTTACTTTCATATGGTTCAACAGATACCAAAGGAAAAAATCATACATATAAAAGGGTAGGGTGGGGGTAGAGGGAGATGCTGTGGTAGAAACGGAAAGAGAAAGATAAGGTAAATGGGGCAAAAAGATAACATTTGGTGAATAAGGTAAATGCCAACGAGTATTCATTGCTGTTTCAATTTTTATTTAAGGTTAAAATTTTTCCAAATTAAAAAGTTGAGGAAGAGAAGAAACAAAAGATCTTTAAATTATTTAGGTGTTTACTATCCAACCTGTGATATCCCTTTTTCTTATCTCTTTGCTTTTTCGTTTTTCACTTCTAAATTTTACATTTTATTTTTTGATCTCTTGAGATTGTGCTAATGCATATCAGTTTGCTTCCTCTTATTATCTCTTCTTATGGATTAACAATTGAAATTTAATAATCTTTGTACCATCTCTATGGATATAACAGTCAAGGACTTTTAATGACCCAAGTTAAAGATGGAGTTAAGTCTAAGGCCCTTCTATTTGAAAGCTCCTCAGACTTCCCCATGTTCCTGAGTTACTATTTTTGTCCATTCTTTTCTTGTCCCCCACACTTGATATATTATCTTCATTCTCAAAAAAGTGTGGTCAAACAAACAAAAAAGGTGGAAAAGCTTCTGGAGGTTGGAGAGATGGGCCACGGGCATGAACTAGACCTATTAAGACAGACTAGGTATAAATTAAAAGTCAGAGTGTCTTTATACTCCCCTCATCCCCTGCCCATTCACTCAGTCTTAGCCTGTACCCTGAACTTTTCAAAATATTACATTTCTGATCTACAAACAAGCACTGGAAGGAGTTCATCATTTTAAAGATCATAGTTTGGTGCTCTGTCTCTGTGTCACTTTTTACAGCCTAAGATTTCCCTTTTCTTCAGATAGGTGAAAATGGTGATCCCAAAGCCTTCTTAATAGAGATTTCCTGGACAGAAACATATCCTCAGACACCTCCGATTATATCTATGAACGCTTTTTTTAACAATACCATGTGAGTAGTATTTCATTTTCATTGTTTTTGTTTTACTCTCCCTTTTACCTTCTTCTTAGCACTATTTGTTGTGTGTTGTAGATCATCAGCTGTAAAGCAGAGTATATTAGCCAAGTTACAGGAAGCAGTTGAAGTTAATCTTGGAACTGCTATGACCTATACATTATTTGAATATGCCAAGGACAATAAGGAACGGTTCATGGAGAATCACCATCCCATTAATTCTACAGTGAGTATATCATTATTTTTTGCAAGGTTTTTTGGTTTTGCTCTGCTAGTAATTAATTTTTGCTAGCTATTAATGTTTAAAAATTGGAAGGGAACTTTGTGTTAGATTTAACATGACAGTTACATCTGAGTTAAATCAGAACAATGAACTTTGGATTTCTTAGGTTCTATTTCATTTAGGAAATGAAATTATATTCTATAGACTACTTAATGGGTCTGTCAAAACTGAGACCTTACAGGACCTAGCTTTTTTTTTTTTTTTTTTTTTTTTGATATTTCTTAAGTTTGTTTATTTTTTAAATTTTTTTATTGTTGTAGTTTAAATGAAGTTTACATTTCAAGTTAGTCTCCCATACAAAAATTTATACATACATTGTTAGGTGACCCTGATTGCTCTGCCCATACTGTGACAGCACGCTCCTCCTTTCCACCCCTGATTCACCATGTCCATTCAGCCAGCTCCTAACCCTCTCTGCCTTCCTGTCTCACCTCCAGACAGAAGCCACCCATTTGGTCTCTTGTATCTGCTTGAGCTAAGAGGCACACTCTTCACAAGTATCACTTTATGTCCCACAGTCCAGTCCAATCCCTGTCTGAAGAGTTGGCCTTGGAAATTGTTTCAGTTCTGGGCCGATAGAGAATCTGGGGGCCATGCTTTCTGGGGTTCCTCCAGTCTCAGACCATTAATTCTGGTCTTCTTACTGGAATTTGAGTTCTGCACCCCACCTTTTCTCCTGCTCTATCAGGGGCTCTCTGTTGTGTTCCCTGTCAGGGCAGTCATTGGTGGTAGCCAGGCACCAGGACCTAGTATTTTTGTATTTACTTAATCTCTTTATAAAGCTTATATAGTTGAAGATTTCTTAGGTAGTTCTAAAATGTGCATGAAATTGCTTTCTCCATGAGGTTTATTTCATTGTAAATTGTCTTGCCACAGTTCAATTTGAAGGTATTGCAACTTAAGGAGACTTTATTGAATAGAAAAAGATAATAATAATTGCTTTATTTATAGAGTGGTTTTAGGAGATAGTCGATTTTTATGACTTTAAGCATCTTTGCACCAAGTCATGATCTAACAGATCAGTGTTAATTTAGTTTTGTCTTGTGAACCAGACTGTAAGCTTTTTGACAGCAAAGACCATGTCTTCTACTTGAGTGGCTCTGGCTTCCATGTTTCCAACAAGACACAGAAGAAGAACATAGGACACAGAAAAAGAGGCCACTGAAGGAGCAGTGGAGGGTAATAGTTAAAACCATGAACTCTGGGTCAGATCAATGGGGTTCAAACTCACTGTACCACTTACTGATTGTGTGACATTGGGCAACATTTTTATCTCCATATGCTCAGTTTTCTCATCTGTAAAATGGGAATTATGATATTATCTACTTTATAAGATTGTACTAAGAATCAAGTGAGTAACATATGTAAGACATTAAAGACAATGTTTGGCACCTAGTAAGAATTTTAAATTTTGGCTATCGTGAACACTGGCTATATGATCTCAAATGTTTTAAAGATTTTTTTTTCATTTCCCCAGGGAACCAGGATGTTCTAGGCAGGCACATTTGATTTTTCTGAAGACATGTTTAGATTTCCAAATGACAGCAAATTAACTGAATTGTAAAACTACTTTGGAACCTCAGAGCCTCAGTATAATGCTGATATCAGAACTTGCATCCCAGGGACCTGGTTATAACAATTGCAGTTATATCCTACATTGTGAACTTTTACAAGAGTGAAACCAACAATGTGCTAAGGTCACCTTATTTTATAAATGAGTAATAATAACATAGTACTTCAGAAATCTAAAAATTATCAGCCTATTTCAGGAAATAGCTATATTTAGCGTAATTCAATAAATGTTGTGTCGTAAGTCTAAAAAATGTGAATTTTTTTCTAGACATCCATAAGCAATATCATCTCAGTTGAAACTCCTAATATAGGCCCATCAAGTAAGAAAAAAGACAAAAAAGAGCAACTTTCAAAAGCCCAGAAACGTAAGCTTGCAGATAAAACAGGTTTGTTTTATTTTTTTTATTTTACAACATAGATAAATAGGTTGCTATTTACTGTGATGTAAGTGCTTAATTAGGAGCCGTGGTGGCACAATGGTTAAATGCTTGGTTACTAACTCAAAGGTCTGCCGTTTGAACCCAACAGCTGCTCCACCGGCCCCTCCAGGGGAAAAAAAACCTGGCAACCTGCTCTCATAAGGATTATAGCCTAGGAAACCCTATGAGACAGTTTTACCGTGCCATATAGGGTCACTGTGAGTCGGAATCAACTTGATGGCACACAACAACAGATGCTTATTAAATATATTTTGATTTAGAAGATGAAGTCTCCATTCTTGGAACATTTGGGTCAGACACAGCCTTGAGTTACAGATGTATATTGAAAATACTTAAACTACTACTTCATTACAAGAGATAGCCATTTGAGAAGAAGGTAACACAGTGCTATAAAAATGAGTTTGAGATTGAGGAACATTAGAAAAGTGTACAAAAATTTCTTTGTCTTACTTTTATGTTCTGTATGGGATTTTCCTATTTGTTTACCTCTATGGCAGATGTGTGTTAATGAAAAGTTTTTGAAATATAGCCTTCATCTGAGATGAATTCTGGTATACTATTAGATCTTAGCACAATAAATAATGGAATGTTTTCTTCTGTAGTTTACTTATTTATGCAACAATAAGATTTAAAAATAAAATTATTATGTGTCCTAAACCGAAAAACAAACAAACAAACCCATTGCCATCTACTGGATGCCGACTCATAGCGACCCTATAGGACAGAGGAGAACTGCCCCATAGGGTTTCCAAGGAGCGGCTGGTGGATTCAAACTGCCAACCTTTTGATTAGCAGCCGAGCTCTTAATCACTGCATCACCAAGGGCCCTGCATATGTTCTAAACCAGAGTCTTTTGTTTGGACCATTCGAAGAGTATTATTAACCCTAGCTCACATCAATAATAATGTTTGATCCTTTACTTTACTTAACCTGAGAATTTGAAAATTGATAGCAGTCTGTAAATTTTTTCCCAGTCAGGGAAAATGAGGACACTGTCATATGTAAGTACACATATATATACGTATGTGCAAGTTTGTCTAGGTACACTTAGTTGTGTATGTGTGTGTTACTGGTGTAAAGCTACAAGCTGCCCTTTACTGGGAAGAACTGACCCTTTTACTTTAGGGAAGAAGGTTAAAGTGCCTTTTCTTTTATAAGGTAGTGTTTTAATTGTTTATGTTTTGTTTAATATGATTGTGACAGAGTAGAAGGATAACAACCCTGTGTTGTCGCTAAAATACATTTTTGAAATTGTAGTGGTTTGTGAAATAGAAAATCTAGGAATCCATTATACGAAATGTAAAAGCAGTGTTAAAGCATAAACAATTAAAACAGTAAATTTTTAACCATTATTCAGTCTGTTTTCTAGAATTTTGATTAATATCTTTTTAGAATGTTTTAGTATCTATGTCTGGACTTAAAGTTGAAACTAAACATTTTCTTAATATTGCCTACTTAGTTACCTGTTGTTTTTATGTAGTTACATAATGCCCTGTGATCATTCCTTTTCATTAATATCTCCATATCTCCATCTCCTTGATAGTGCCCACCTAAGTCATTAACTTTCTATAATTAAGATATAGGAGTTTGTAATAACTTGGAGCTTTAATTCTAAATGAAACTTTAATGGGACAGGCATGGCGCTATGGGTAAATGTTTTAGTTACCAAAATTGATGATCTGCCCTCATGCCCCTCATAACTAGTAACCAGTAGGATAAGATTCTTGCATAAAGGAGAAAAGAACCATTAGCATCTCAAATTGAGTTCCAGTAACATTGCTTCTCTCCTGTAAGAATCATGGGGAAAATGAACATACATCAAGCATAAAGGAAATGAAGCCATTTTAAATGGAAGGATTTTAAGTTATTTATTAAACTATTCTTTAGATTTGAATATTCTATTAAAAGAGTGAAAGTACCTTCTAAACTGTAAATGCTTATATAAAAGGTTGAACTTGTTTTCAGGCACTTCCAGTGATTAAAGCCCTTTTTAAAGAATGTTAGATTATGCCTCTATGAGGCCCTGGGTCCGAGGCCTGGCACCTCCACCAAAAAAGAAAAAGAATGCTAGATTAAACAATGACTATTTGTCAGAGCACAATAAGAATAAGTTCACTCCTCTTAGTCTTGAAGCCAAACATTTGTCTATAAAACCTCCTGTTTTGAGTCTAGTTTCTTGATGTGAACTGCAAACTCATGAAATAGTAAACTGACAGTTTCTTAATAACCAGTGACTTTATAAAGCAATAAAACTGTGTAACACATGCAACTAATTAATTAATTAGCTCTTCTTCCCTGACGTTACCAACCACCTCCGTATTTTTCCTTGATACCGGGTTTTGTCTTGAATGGAAATAGGGTAAATGTAAAATGAAATACATTGCAAATATCCCCAGAATAGTGCTTTCAATTCATGATGATGATAAATTTTTCCAGCTTAGTAATGTGTGGTTTAAATTTTTGTCTATTTATTGCGTAGAATAGTAAATACAAACTTATTTATTAGAATATTAATTTAAAACTAGCTGATTGGTTGTAGAAATAAAGTTACTATTTTTTTTAATCCTCTAGATCACAAAGGGGAACTTCCTCGAGGCTGGAACTGGGTTGATGTGGTGAAGGTATATGGTGTTTATACTCTTGTCTTCAAAAAATTGTTATTATTCTCATCAAGTAATGAAATGTATATCTTCCCTTTTTTCCCCCTCCACAATCTTTGGATTTTACTGGGATGTTTTTTTCCTTCTTTATATTCAGCATGTAAGTATTTTTTTAAATATTCTTTACTTTGTTGTCTTCCCTATGCCCTCAATTTTAGATTTTTTTTTTAAAACTAATGAATAATTTGTACAAGTAATATATAATTAAAGTACTGCTCTTTCTGTAGATACATCTTAAGAATGGACATGCCTAAATATAACTAATTAGTGATAACATGGAAAATGAGGAAAACTAGGCATGGAGAGGAATGTTTCGATTTAAAAGAAACATTATATGATAATATAAGAAACATTATATCTAATAAAAAGAAATTATTATTATTATTATTTTTTTTTAAGGGCAGACTCCAGATAAAGCTGCCCATCATTGCAAGAAAGATGTCTTCTTGTTGTTGTTTAAAATTGTTTACTTTCCATTTTGGATTTTTTGCTATTTTCTCTCAATATCTTTCTTGCATTTTTTGTGATTTAAAATGTATGAACTGATACTTAGCACAGTAAGTTAATTCTCTCTACAGGACATCCTAAAATACGCTGTGTGTGCTGGTTAGTGCTACAGGTGCTGTGAGAAGTGATTATTATGATCTGAGAGCAGTTAAAGATTAAGATTTTAGGGAGAACACACAAATATGGTAATTTGCAAGCAGTGTATTGCTGACGTTTATTTTAAAGTCAACTGTTTGGGCTGTGGAATGCATTTTCTATAGAAACTGTTTAAAATAATCTTTGTGCTTCTAGAATCTAGTACTAAAATATTGCCTGGCAGCAGTTAGTCATGAGCCACAACTGGAATAAAGAAACACAGTATTTCTCCCTTTCCTGGGCAAGAGGTTGACCCTGTACAAATGTTGTGTTAGCAAAGCTCATTCACCTATGCCCCTCTCTACTAATGCTTGGTGGATGCTTCATGTTGTCCCAGGTGTCCCTTAAGTAGCTCTCTAGCTAAGTCTGTTCTCTCCTTGAAATGCTGTGGGCTCCATGCTTAGGGGCCACTGAACTTCTGTTAAAGGTGAGGGGAAAATTTGGAAACAGATATTGTTAATGGTTGAACGACATAATAAACAATAACTAGTGTCACTGAATTGCGCATGTGAAGAATGTTGAAAAGGCAAATGATTTATTATGTATATATCTGCAACAATTTCAAAAAAAAAAAAAAACTGCTGTGGGTTCCAGAATGAGCTATTTACTTACTCAGAATGCCTCTTAGTGCAGCAGATCTCAGCTGAAAGTGAGAAGAGAAGTAATCTAATTGATCTAAAGGTGATAGTGCTCCTTTTTCCCTAGCTTTAGAATTTTTTTTTTTAAACGAGAGTCCCTGTTAATATAAATTAGACTTTCAAACTGTTAAAGGTAAAATTTAAATATCCAGTCATCTTATAGAGATAGGAGAGGATATTTTATTTTACTGTACTTTAGGTGAAGGTTTACAGAGCAAATAGTTTCTCATTAAACAGTATGCATATTGCTTTATGACATTGGTTAACAATCCCACGACACGTCAACACTCTCCCTTCTTGCCTTGGGTTCCCTATTACCAGCTTTCCTGTCCCCTCCTGCCTTCTAGTCCTTGTCCCTGGGCTGTTGTGCCCCATTAGTCTCGTTTTGTTTTATGGGCCTGTCTAATCTTTGGCTGAAGGGTGAACCTTGGGAGTGACTTCATTACTGAGCTAAAAGGATGTCCGGGGGCCATAATCTGGGGGTTTCTCCAGCCTCTGACAGACCAGTAAGTCTGGTCTTTTTTTTGTGAGTTAGAATTTTGTTCTACAGTTTAGGAGAGGATATTTTGAAGAAGGACATGATGTGGTCTCAAAATCTATTACCTTAAGCCATTTTAACCAAAGTGTAGTGTGTGGAACCCTGGGAGGTCCCTGAGACACTCTCAGGGGGTCTGCAAGGTCAGAACTGTTTTCATTAGAGCACTGAGATCTCATTTACCTTTTTTACTCATTTTTCCATGAGTGTACAGTGGCATTTTCCGGAGGCTGCATGACGTGATGATGTCATCACTAATATTCTATGCAACGCTGACAGAACGTGTGCTTTTGTATATTCTGTTTTTCAGAATTTTCTAAGGTTGTAGGTTTAGGATCTAAGTATGTGCATTTTTAATATGGGCTGAGTTTGTTCTCAGTACTTCTACTGTGTTCTTGTTAGCTGTCATACATTATACTAGCTATACTATAGAAGCAGATTTGTGAGAATCCAGCTGTCTTTTATTGAGTTAGATAACAAAGAGATTTGCAAAAATGTAACACAACGCCACTCTTCGTGCTTAAGATTTTATTTCTTTGTTTTAGAAAATGTGATTACTTGTTCATTAAAAAAAAAATTCCGAGGTATAATGGTTTTATTATTTATTTTGAAATGAATTTAATTTCTTAGTTTTAATTTCAAATGCAGTAGGTATAACCCACATAAACAAAAGTTTCCTGTGGTCTTGAGTTTTTAAGGGTATGAGGAGTCCTGGGGCCAAAATCTGTGAGAACTGCTATGCTACCCTTAGCAGTTTCTGCTTCTCACAGCTGCCCACATTCTTTGGAGATATTGGGGTTGTTGGGTACAGTAGAGATTTATCTTAGTCTTTATTCTGGTCAGAATTGCCTTTGTGAATTTTATCTGGCCACCACCCCAAAATGTGTCAACTCCTGCTCTAGATTCTTAATCAGGAAAGTTGTAATTTAAGATTAGCACACTTTCAAAACTGTGTTTTAAGCATTTGTTGTTGTTCATTTTGTAAATGCCACCTTCTATTTGTATATTCTTGATTCCAGTTTATTTCTTAGAAATCTTAAAGGGATTTCCCCCCCCCCCCTTATTCTGTTGAGGTCACATTTTTAAAGATTCCTGTTTGAAATAGTTGAGCCTAGAGTTGAAAAGTAGCTACATGTGGTAAAAGCGATGTTGTTTGGTGCCGTCAAGTCGATTCCAACTCATAGCAACCCCATGTGACAGAGTAGAATTGCCCCATATAGTTTCCTTGGCTATAATCTTTACGGAAGCAGATTACCAGGTCCTTCTCCTGCAGAACCACTGGGTGGGTTTGAGCCACCAACCTTTCAGTTAGCAGCTGAGCACTTAAGTATTGTGCCACCAGGGCTCCTTGGTAAAAGCTATAGATAGTTTAAGTTATTTGAATCTTGCTGCCTGTTGTTCTATTAACTATAAAACAGTTTTGATATTAAGTGGAAATAATTAAATAATAGCTTAAACTTGTTGAATTTTTTCTTTTTATAGTTAAGCAAAACTGGATCTAAAGATGATGAATAACACTTGGAATTTGAGACAAGGAGAGAGCATCCTTTAAAAAAGTAAATGGGGTTCAAAATATTTCATTACTTTTTTCTGGTATTGAGGTGGCTTTTTATAAAACACTTTTTTGTATGTTTCTTACATTAAAAATGTCATAAGCTAAAAGTTCATGAAGAGATATGGTTGTATTATCTTCACAAACTTGCCTTAATCAAAGGTGAAAATGTTACTGTTTAGTATACTTTGCAAAGGCCGTCTAGCATTGTAAATGGACAAATACGGGGAATAGTATATAATCAGTATTAATTTATATGATCTTATTATAGTGGATGGTGATAAAGGAGTCTGAAGCCCTTTTCAAACCCTCATCCCAGTGGAGCAGAATAACTGAGTGAACTATTCTTTGGCAGCATGATCCATATTGATAGCCTTCTTATCTTAAATAAAGTCTTGATTTCTTCTTTCTCTTAATTACTGAAGCATAAATTGCTTCAAAGAAATTTAAATACCAGTATTTGGGCTTTATACATATATACTCTTTGTAGTTCCTTTTTATTTTTTGAGGGTGAACTTCTTCTCTTTAATAAATGAATATCTGTTTATGCTTTTCTGTTGGTTTCGGTCAAGATATATAATCATGAGAGCTTTCAATGGTATGTGGAATAGGAGAATATATTTAAAAAAAAAAAAACCTGCCAAATACATTAGAAAGCATTTTAAATAGAAGTGCTGACTCTTATTTGAAACATTTCTCTTTACTGCATATACCATGATGGAGTAAAAGATGCCTTAATATTTAATTTTTTTATTGTTGGAAACAATGATTTTAATAAATTCCTATTTATTGGCTATTGTTTGTTCTTAGCCGTTTGATAATTGAGGTCTTCTAAATGGTTTAAGATAAAACACATTCAAGTTTTGTTTCTTTTCAGAGTGTCTTTTCAAGTACACAAACATATTTCTCAACCTGAGCATCTTTGTCATAATAGACATAAAGTCTTTCAAATGCTGAACTGTAGTACATGCTTGATTTTTAAAAATAATTAATAAACTATTGATGTAGTTTTAATGTATCAGGAAAAGTCATTGATGTTTGTGTGCAGTGTATACAGTGTTTCTGTATATATCTCTCAGCTTTAAAAACACTTACAATTAATGTTGTGGTATCAGGAAGGGTAAAAATGTTCCTCAGTTTATACCTGTGAAGCTTGGATCTGACTGTTTAAAGAATGATTGATTTCTAAGGAAGTTACCTTAGCATAAGAGATTTTTGAGTTGTATGCATGGTTTTTACTGGATTAATAACATTGGCTTCAGTTAAATCTTTGTAATTATAAAGTAAGTATAATAACAGTGAAGGAATTTAATATCATTTGCAGAAGCTGAATCACATTTTATTTCTTGAATTAATATGATAGAAATATTAAAATTCAGGACCACTGGAATATGCCAACTTTTGTTTTGGAGTTGTGTGTTTGTAATGTTTTTGTTGTTGTGTGGATTTGTTTGCTATTTTGTTTTCTAAAGAAACCAAAACTGCTAGATCTGCTAGTGAAGATTCTGGAATTGTTTAGACTTAGTGTGGTTCATCGATTACAAAGAATGCTAGTTAAATGCTGATGAACTAGTTTTACTCTTTTTATGTGATGTATAGAAATTTCTGGGGTTGGTGGTGGGCAGTGGTGCCTCTCGTTACCTTATGTAAAACACTTGAACGTTCTCATCAATATTACCATCATCTGTTTAACACGCCCCGAATATTTTCTCAGAGTCTGTTTATTCAAAATTGTGTGGAATGACAAAATTAATAAGCAATAAACTCAGAATTGCACACAATAATTTTTCCACGTTTTATTTCAAATCACTTGATAGATAATCTTTGATTATATAAATTTGCATAGCCTTATGGTGTGAGATATAGAAACTATTAACTAGACAATATTAAAATTGTTGGATTAACAACTTTTTTTAGTAGGCTGACAAGAAGGTAAGGAATACTCAGAGACTAAAAAATTAAGTAAAAGCTGGAACCTTAAGGTTAGGGACAGCTTTAGTTTTCACAGTTCGTGGGACCCAGAAGACAGAAGATGAAGTCCAGGACTAGCCCAGGTTAGAGTCTCATGCATTACACATTCACACACACATAAGACACATGATGATGAACTTTAGTTCTGGATGGAGTGTACAAATACACTTCTCTGACGCTTTGTAGCTACAAGTTACCTCACACTTGGATTTCAGCCCGAATTATTCCCCATATAAACCAGTAAACCAGTTGCTGTCAAGTCAGTCCCAACCTATGGTGACCTCATGTCTGTCAAAATAGAACTGTGCTCGGTAGGGTTTTCAGTGGCTGATTTTTTGGAAATAGATCACAAGGCCTTTCTTCCACGGCACCTTTGGGTGGACTCCAACCTCCAACCCTTTGGTTAGCAGCCAAGTGCATGAACCATTTGCACCATCCAGGGACGGCACTCCCCGTATACGTTTTTCTAAAAAAGCTTCAAGCCAAAAATTTAGTTTAAAATACCATATAGGTACAGTTTCTAGACAACTGGTAGAAGTAAACATAAATCTGCTATGGAAGAACCCACCTTCAACCCGGGATGGATTACTCAATAAGCAAGGTAAGCATGTGCTTGGGGCATCAACAAAATGGGGGTACCAATTGCCCAAAGCAAAGACCCATCGATACCAAGTGGACAGGACACAAAAAAAAGTGAAGATCGCACAGGACCAGGCAGTGTTTCATTCTGCTGTGCATGGGGTCGTTTTGAGTCAGAACTGACTCGATAGCACCTAACAACAACAACATGATGTTTATGATGCAGGATACAATCTACAGGATTAGATTGTGTTTCAACTCAGTCTCTTGAGATACACAGCAGATTAAACAAGCGAGCAGAGAAGAGGGACCTATGACCACCAAGAAGAGCCAGGACCAGAGTGTGTCCTTTGGATCTGGGGTACCTGAGCTGAGAACCTGCTAGACCAATGAGAAGATTGATGCAAAGTCATGGAGATTTCCAAGGAACACCAGGCCCTCAGATGTTAAAAGGAGACAAGGACCTTTCCCTACAGCTGGCACCCTGAATTCAGACTTCGAGCCTCCTAAACTGTGGGAGAATAAATTTCAGTTTGTTAAAGCCATCAGCTTGGGTTATTTCTGTTACACCTTATGTTGTTAGGTGCTGACGAGCTGGTTTGGACTCATGGTGACCATATGCACAATAGAACAAAACATTGACCACTGCATGGTCCTGCACCATTTTCACAATCATTGCTATGTTTGAGCCCATTGTTGCAGCCACTGTGTCAATCCATCTCATTGAGGGCTTCCTCTTTTTCACTGACCTTCTACCTTACCAAGCATCATGTCCTTCTCCAGGGACTGATCCCTCCTCATAACGTGTCCAAAGTGCATGAGACGAAGTCTATCATCCTTGTTTCCAAGGAGCGCTCTGGCTGTACCTTCCAAGACAAACGTGTTCATTCTTCTGGCAGTCTGTGGTATATTCAGTATTCTTTGCCAACACCAGAATATGAAGACATCAATTCTTCTTTGGTCTTTCTGATTCATTGTCCAGCTTGCCATCCATATGAGGAGATTGAAAATATCATGGCTTGGGTTAGGTGCACCTTAGCTCTCGAAGTGACATCGTTGCTTTTGAACATTTTAAAGAAGTCTCTGCAGCAGATTTGCCCAATGCAATACATTGCTTGATTTCTTGACTGCTGCTTCCATGGGCATTGATTGTTGATCCAAGTAAAATGATATCTTCAGTCTTTCCTCCGTTTATCATTATGTTGCTTATTGGTCCAGTTGTGAGGATTTTTGTTTTCTTTATGTTGAGGTGTAATCAGTACTGAAGGCTGTAGTCTTTGATCTTCATCAGTAAGTGCTTCAAATCTTCGCTTTCACCAAGCAAGGTTGTGTCATCTGCATATTGCAGGTTGTTAATGAATCTCCACCGATCCTGATGCTGCATTCTTCATATAGTCCAGATTCTCTGTTTATTTGCTTAACATACAGATTGGGTAAGTTTGGAGAAAGGATACAACCCTGATGCACACCTTTCCTGAATTTAAACCATGCAGTATCCTTGTTCTATTCGAACGACTGCCTCTTGGTCCATGTACAGGTTCTGCATTAACAGAATTAAGTGTTCTGAAATTCCCATTTTTCACAATGTTATCCATAATTTGTTATGATCCACACAGTCCAATGCCTTTGCATAGTCAATAAAACACAGGTAAACATCTTTCTGATATTCTCTGCTTTCAGCCAAGATCCATCGGACATCAGCAATGATATCTCTCATACAACATCCTCTTCTGAGTCCAGCTTGAATTTCTAGCAGTTCCCTGTCAATGTACTACTGCAACAGTTTTTGAATTATCTTCAACAAAATTTTAGTTGCATGTAATATTAAGGATACTGTTTGATAATTTACACATTCTGTTGGATTGCCTCACTTTAGAATGGACACAAATATGGATCTCTTCCAGTCATTTGGCCAGGTAGCTGCTGAATTTCTTGTCATAGATGAACGAGCACTTCCAGCACTGCATCCGTTTGTTGAAACATCTCAGTTGGTATCCCATCAATTCCTGGAGCCTTGTTTTATACCAATACCTTTAGTGCAGTTGGACGTCTTCCTTGAATACCATCAGTTCTTGATCATATGCTACCTCCCGAAATGGTTGAATGTCGACCAATTCTTTTTGGTACAGTGACTCTGTATTCCTTCCATCTTCTTTTGATGCTTCCTGTGTCGTTCAATATTTTGCCCATAGAATCCTTCACAATTTCAACTCGAGGCTTGAATTTTTTCTCCAGTTCTTTCAGTTTGAGAATTGCGGAGAGTGTTCTTCACTTTTCGTTTTCTAAATTTAGGTCTTTGTACATTTTATTATAATACTTTATTTTGTCTTCTCAAGGTGCGCTTTGAAATCTGTTCAGCTCTTTTCCTTCATTTCTTCCTTTTGCTTTAGCTATTCTACATTCAAGAGCAAGTTTCAGAGTTTCTTCTGACATCCATTTTAGTCTTTTCTGTCTTTTTAATGAGCTTTTGCTTTCTTCATGTATAATGTTCTTGTACAACTCATCTGATCTTCGGTCATTAGTGTTCAGTGTGCCAAATCTATTCTTGTGATGGTCTCCAAATTCAGGTGGAATATAAGCAAGGTCGTATTTTGGTTCTCATGGACTTGGTTTCAATTTTCTTCAGCTTCCACTTGAACTTGCATATGAGCAATTGATGGTCTGTTCCACAGTCGGCCACTGGCCTTGTTCTGACTGATGATATTGAACTTTCCATCACCTCTTTCACAGAGGTAGTAGATGTGATTCCTGTGTTTTCCATCTCGTGAGGTCAGCGTGTATAGTTGCCATTTCTGTTGAAAAAAGGTATTTGCAATGAATAAGTTGTTGGTCTTGCAAAATTCTCTCATGCCATCTCCAGCGTCCTTTCTGTCACCAAGACCATAGTTTTCAACTACTGATTCTTCTTCATTTCCAACTTTCACATTTCAATCACCAGTAATTATCAGTGCATCTTTTTTTTATGATTGTTTTTTCATGTATGCAGTTATTTTTATTTAATACAACTGAATCATCAATAATTTGCATAGAAGCCATTGTGGTTTTATGTTATTGTTTCATTAGGAGACATAACTACAAGTGAATGTATCAGGGCAAAAGTGACAGAATTGGAAGATGCTCAGATTGTTTCTATAGAGTTAGACAATTTTACACTACAACAGAAGCCCATGTAAATTTTCAATCCATCATATGACAGGTATCTCACAGTATTTTAATATTAGCTCTTCTTTTCAGGACTGTCTTCTGGTTTTGCAAACAAGTTCTGTTCAGCATTTGCAAATTCATCTCTCACCATAATAGATCAAGAAGTTACTTATCTATGCACAGATGCTCAGTCAATGGTTCAGAGAAAATTTTTTTTTACAAACCTGCAAAATAGAGGGGCTGCAGAGGTTTTTTTTTGGGGGGGAGTTTTTTTTTTTATTGTTGTTTAAATGAAGTTTACATTTCAAGTTAGTTTCCCATACAAAAATTTATACATACATCGTTATGTGACCCTAATTGCTCTCCCCATACTTTGACAGCACACTCCTCCTTTCCACCCCTGATTTCCCATGTCCATTCAACCAGCTGCTAACCCTCTCTGCCTTCCCATCT